GCCAAAGAGACTGAATCAGGAAACAAAAATGCAAAAAAACCCACAAAAAAACAAAAAAGAAGGAAGAGCCCTACCAAAACAAGTCACTTGACTGCACACATCACACATACATCTCTCCACAGAGAGAGCAGAGGCAGCCTGAACCCCCATAACAGATGTCAAGCTGTCTGTTTTGGGCACTCCTGGAAGCTACGCAGGCTCTACGCTGAGGAACACGCTATAGGAAATCATAGAGGACCTCACTATACAAATCCTAGTGGAGACAGTGACCAGAAAAAAGCTGCATCTGCAGGGAAGAGGGCCTTGAAATCAATATTGCTTAGGACTACGGTCACTCTAATTCTGAAACACGAGGTACTCACGTTCCTAATGCTCTCTCATGAAGGGAGTTTGTGGACTGGGTGTGTCCCAGATTTCCGTGCTTCCCCACACACATTCTATCAAAGACTCTGACTTCCATGAAAATATGAACCTTATTTCCTTAAACCCAACTCCACTGGATACCAACATGAGGTAGTTAATTTCCCAGATGCTTTGGCTACTTCCAAGAAAGGATGAGACAGGATCTATCTGTTTTACATGACAAGGGGCTTTAAATCTCTCAGTCACCTGATGCAACTGTCAGGAAGCAGGGATTTCTATACCTGGCCCTTTGCAGGCCTTCTTTGCACACCGATACAGAACCACAGGTGCTTTATACACATAAATGGTCTCTACAAACATAAATCAGTATCTGTATTTTATTCACAGGCTATGCATGGAAACATACTCCTGACCAGAGTATTCTGAACTACACCTCCTTCTTCCCATCCCCAGGGAAGACGCAATTATTTTTCATCACATGCAAACAAAACTGAGCTATACACTGACACAGCTGTAAGCACAAGTGATACCTTCAATCAACATTCCCAAATATATTTTCCTAATAAAGTTCAGACCAATAACAGGTTTTCCTGCTAAACTGTCTCTTCTGGAAAACTTGGAGCAAGCTGAATTCTCTCATGGCAGCAGATTCCAGCAGTGGGAAAAGGAGTCCCAGGGCACCTCCTGTTTGTTTGCTTGTGACAAACATTCGAAAAGCCAGATACCCACATACAAAAAACGAGGAGGAGGTGTTTTGCCGCACACTTCAGAAGAGGAGGATCAAACACCGAGCCACTTCAGGAACACCAGCATTGACCGGACACGAACTGCCATGGCTCTGCCAGGATAGGAAGCCCGTGAACTGGGGGATAGATGCAGAGCAGAGGCAGCTCCCGGCGGCCAGCATCGCAGTGCCAGGCTGACACCTGGAGGGAGAGCGGGGCAGGAGCGGGAGGAGCCGGGCAGGAGCCAGGCAGAAGCGTGGGCAAAGACCGTGATCTGCCCGAGGTCCTCTGGGCCGCTGCCCGCTGCGACCAGCCCCTCTCCTCCTCCAGAGCACTTCTGAGGTGGGCCTGCTGATAAGAAGAGGAGGGGAGAAAAATATTTCAGTGCTTCAAAAACCAGCACCGATAATTATTTTCACCCTTTCAGTTTCAAAATTGACACCGCCCACCACCACCTTTTTTTTTTCTTTTGTTCCCATTTTGTCATGAACATTTGAGGTATTTTGCTTCAATATTTCTTCCATGTCACTTGTCCCATTTCTTCCTGAAACAAACACAGCAGGATGGAGCAGGCCATAAAATGTGCCAGTATTGCACTTAGTTCAACTAGAGGTGCTGTCCCTTTCCCACATTCTCCTCAAACAGCAGTTAAGCAGCAACGGGTTAGGCTTCATGCCCCAATGTCCAGGCAGGGGCATGGAACGGAATGAGCACAGAACGTAACCCCACAGGGCTCAGTTTGGGTTAACAAGAAACACTTCAGCTTACATCTGATTTCCACCACTCCTTTGAAAGCCCTCCCTCCGCACAGGTGATTTCGTCCGTTCAGCAGCAGAGTATGGAACCTCTCAGTCACACTGTGTAAGGTAACCTTATCTGGCAGTAAAATTAGGGATACGGTATAGGAATTAGGGCAAGCTACTTACTTACCCAGGAAGGTCAATTTAAGTCAAAGCTATCTTGCACAGATGGCTAATTTCAATCACACATTTGACAAAATTGTTCAATAAGCTAAAAATAAATAGTGAAAGTAATTAATTTAAAGCTGCCCTAATTGTTTCTCAATTTCCCCTATTAATTTAACCTATAACACTTCCCCTCTCAAAGCTTTAAAGCTTTAACTTAACAGCCAATTAAAGCTCCTCTTATTAAAAAAAAAAAAAAAAGTGCTGTCAGCTCGGATTCCTTCTGACTGAACTCTTTGAAGCACTTGGGATTTCATATAAATTGCACAGGGCTTAGAAACAAAGTGTTTTTTCCAGGTATAATGTTCTCAGTGAGCTAATGATTCAATGGACAATTAAGGCTAATTAAGTTTTTAACTTGGTAGCAACTTTCTATGCTGTATTTGGCTCTAGGAAGGTGAGTCACCACTGGAGTGAGCACTGATGCTCTTCATTTGTCAGTGGGAGGTGGCAGGAGTGGGACTGCCCCTGCTCAGGCTCACCACAGTGACAGGCTCCTCAGGATGGGAAGGATTCACTCCCCTTAATTCATGTGGCAGCTATATTCTTATTCCTGTAAATGCATGTGTCTGCATAAACCTGAATTACCTCCCTCATTCTCCCAGTGAGCACTGCAAAGAGAAAAGCCAGTGGGACACTTGATAGGAAAAATATTGCCACCACACATATATCATTCCTCTTAGCTTGATCCCAGTTGTTTGGTTCAGGAATTTTAGCTGCCAGGTACACCAGGTTGATCAGGACAAACACAAACAAAAACATCAATAGCCTGTCAAATTAATTTCCCTATCAGACAACACCTTTGTGGCCTCTTAAGACTGCATTTCTAGGAATCCCCAGTATCTGAATTCTCATCCTCCTGTGACCCTGTTACATGTGGGACTCGCTGAGCCAACTCCTGAGCTTAGCTTTTCACAGCCCTGCAGCACTCTGTGAGGTGATTTATCACGCTGGGCTCCCTGCTGCCAGCAGAAAGGATATCCTGTGCTCCATCCTAAATATAGCCAGGGGTCCCTCCCCTCCTCTCAGAACAACTATGTATAAGGATCTTCTTTTGGAATGCATTTTCTCTAGGTATCTGTTCTAAATGATTCTTAATGCAAGCTCACACAAAGGAAAAAAAAAATCCAAACAGAAACAGAGAAACCATTAAGAAAAGAAGACAGAAACTAAGTAAAATAGGAATGAACAGTTCAGAGACATGCTTCAACTACAACCCAGAAAGCGGAGAACACAAGGAAGTTTCTTAAAGGTAATCCTTGCTGTATTATTACTGTGAACACAATTCCTCTTGGGTACATGCAGGAGAAAGCCATATGCAAGATGCACAACAGCTGAGGAGGAGGGAGAAGGGACAAGGTGCTGTCAGCAGGTGTGCAAGGGCAGGAGGAATACAGCTTTCAGAACACTGACTTTGAGAGATCTCAGTGCATGGTTGGTTAATAGATACATTTGAGAGGCGCTGTTGACCAAAACTAACTTAATTTGGGTAACCAAAGAGTGTAACATGGGTATTTGGGGGTGAGGAAGCACAGCTGTTTGTACTGAACACCTGGTCTTTAGTGTCATTCTTGATCACCCTGAATCTTTTCCTTCACAATACAAATCTCCCTTCCATGGGAAAACATTTCATACTTGTCACACGGTCTTGAAGAAATGGTCTCACATGTTGTTTAATGAGACAAAAGACCTTGAAAGAATTCTGCATGAGACATGGCCGACGAGGAGGCACAGGTGGATGATTCCAACTCTGAAAACTAGAGCCAGGCAGCACCTAGGGAATTACTGCTTTCTGACTCTTTTTAAAATTAGGAAACAAAAAACTTGAAGGCAACTGACAAGCAATCAACAACTTTGCTTATTTAGGCCAAGCAAATCATAGAATCACAGACTATCACAGGTTTGGACTGGAAGGGACCTTAAAGCTCATCCAGTTCCAACCCCCAGCCATAGGCAGGGACATCTTCCACTAGAGCAGGCTGCTCCAAGCCCCGTCCAACCTGGCCTTGAACACAGCCAGGGATGGGGCAGCCACAAGCTTCTCTGGGCAACCTGTGCCAGGGCTTCATTGCAAGAGTCTTCTTCACTACTAAGATTTTTTTTTTTTGGTACTTCATAGTGTACAGACAAAAAAAAAAAAAAAAAAAAAATAAACAAACAAACCTAACAATCATTATCTTAATAAACCAGAGACTACATAATGTCTAAGTTTCATAATCTCTCATTCCCAATCAAAATAGAATCACAGAATCAACTAGGTTGGAAAAGACCTTTAAAATCATAAAGTCCAAACCATTCCCCCAGCACTGCCTAGGCCACCACTAAACCATGCCACTGAGGGCCTTGTCTACACAGTTTGTGAATACTTCCAGGGATGGTGATTCCACCATTCCCTGGGCAGTCTGTTCCAAAGCCTGAACACCCGCTTGGTGAAGAAATTGATCCTAATATCCAATATAAACCTCCCCTGGCACAGCTTGTGGCCGTTTTCTCCTGTCCTCTCACTTGCTCCTTGGGAAAGGAGACCGACCCTCACCTCACTGCAACCCCCTTTCAGGTTGCTGTAGAGAGTGATAAGGTCCCCCCTGAGCCTTCTCTTCTCCAGACTAGACAAGGCTCAGAGAGGACGTTTTAGACCATCTCCTTTAGACAACCTTCTCTCCAGTGACAGGACTGGCAGGAATGTACAGCAACCTTACTATACAAAGCACACTAAGAGAGCTGTAAAGGCTGCATAACCTGTACTCACAATGACTACCAAGCAATGCTGTTACTTGCAGTACTTCCACTCTGGGACAGGGAAACCTGCGGCGGGAGGAGCCGCTGCCGCGGTCCCCTGACGGGATCGGGGCCCTGAAAAAGACCGCAGCAGGTGGGGGGGGGGGGGGGCTGTCCTGCCAACTACAGCCGCAAGTGCCCCGGAGAACAGCGCCCCCGCGTGCCCGCTGCCCGGCGCCGCGCACTGCCGATACAGCGCCGGCGCTGTCGCGGTGATGTGACGGCATCGCTCGTCGCCGCGGCCGCTCCCCTTCCAGCGTTACCCGGCCGGTGCCCGGTGCCCCTGAGGTCCCGTTCCCGCGGAAGGGGGCCGGGAGCTTTAGGTCCCGTCCGGTGCGGCGGGCAGGATGCACCAGAAGCTGCTGCGGAGCGCGCACTACATCGAGCTGGGGAGCTACCAGTATTGGCCGGTACTGGTGCCCCGTGGCATACGTCTCTACACCTACGAGCAGATCCCCGTTTTCCTGAAGGACAACCCCTACATCACCGACGGCTACCGGGCCTACCTACCCTCCCGCCTCTGCCTCAAGAGGTGAGGATACACCCCCCGACCTGTCACGTGCCCAGACCCCGGCTCACCCCCGTTGTGTCTCCTCACAGTCTCTTCATCCTCTCCAACGAGACCGTCAACATCTGGAGCCACCTGCTCGGCTTTGCCCTTTTCTTCACGCTGGGAATATACGACCTGACGGCTGTGCTGCCGGCCGCCGGAGCCTCCCGGGAGGACTTCGTCATCTGCTCCATCTGCCTCTTCTGCTTCCAGGTAGGGGCTGGGGAGAGCCATCAGCAAGAAGGCTCACAGCTACAGGTTGGGTGGAAAAGTGATTGAGAGCATCCCTGTGGATGACTTGGTGGTGTTGGTCAATGAGAAACTGAATATGAGTCGGCTTCAGTGTGCGCTCACAGCCCAGAAACCACCCGTGTGTTGGCTCCATCAAAAGGAGCATGACCAGTAGATCGAAGGAGGTGATGCTGTGCTCCTACTCTGCTCTCATGAGATCCCATTTGGAGCACAGTGTAGAGTTCTGCTGTCCTCAACATAAGAAGGACATGGAGCTGTTGGAACATGTCCAGAGGAGGCCATGGGGATGATCAGGGGCAGGAGCACCTCCCGTATGAAGATAGGCTGAGAAAGTTGGGGCTGTTCAGCCTGGAGAAGCTGCATGGAGACCTCATAGCAGCCTTCCAGTATCTGAGGGAGGCCTGTAAGGATGCCAGAGAGGAACTTTTCATCAGGGACTGTAGTGAAAGAACAGGGGGTGATGGATTTAAACTTAAACAGGGGAAGTTCAGGTTGGATCTAAGGAAGAAATTCTTTACTGTGAGGGTGGTGAGGCACTGGCACAGGTTGCCCAGAGAAGTGGTGAATGCTCCATCCCTGTCAGTGTTCAAGGCCAGGTTGGACAGAGACTTGGGTGACATGGTCTAGTGTGAGGCATCTCTGCCCACGTCAAGGAGTTGGAACTGGATGATCTTAAGGTCCTTTCCAACCCAAACCATTCTGTGATTATGGAGAGGAACCATAATTGCCTACAGCAGGTTGCATTGCAGAACGTGTACGGGGTCAGTAGGATGCTCTAAAGTTCAGAGCTTAAGCTTATTGTAGACCCTGTTAATATTTAAGACATTAATGCATCCCTGTTTGAACCTTTGCCTAGGTGTGCATGCTCTGCTCAGTAGGATATCATCTTTTCTGTTGTCACCGCTCAGAGAAGACCAGCCGGCGATGGATGGCATTAGATTATGCAGGAATTTCCATCGGGATCCTGGGCTGCTATGTATCAGGCGTCTTTTATGCATTTTATTGTAATAATGTAAGTCTGAAGTGCTTGTTTAGTTCCTGTGGTCTCAGTGGCGTAGCCTCCGCACTGTAGGAAGTAGGTGAACAGTAGGCAGGAGGCAGTGATGGAAACTGAAGCAAGTTCCTTTCAGACGGAACTCCACAACCTTGAAGTGATGTGCAAATTGAGATTTCCTTTCAAGCTGTCACTTGCATAAGCCTCAAGAAAATACCCGAATTCATATGAAGGCAGGGTACATGTCCCAGGTCATGTCTTTGTCACAGGCCTGAGACTGATGATGGGATGTGTCCCCATGACAAGTAATTCAAACATCATTTCCCATTAGATAGCTTGCATGAGGCAGAAACGAGTTCATTTTCTCTTGATACACTAGAGGACAAGTAAAACAGGTTCCCCTTTGAAGGCCTAACTACATCCATGCCTGCAGCTTAACAAGACTGCCAAGGGAGAGGTGGGTTTAAAGTGAAGGCACCACATGTTGTGACATGTACCTGGGGGACAGAATCCTTTCCCCTCACTGTCAGTCAATTCACAAGTCCATTCATTCAAACCCCCTCTCTTGGCACTCACAGCAGTGACAGGACATTTGATGTATCATTATATTTCATACTGTGAGCTTCCTACCCATAGTTTACTTTTACACCTGATGAGAAAACTCACAAACTTGCTTTTGTTTCTTTTTTCCTCAGTACTGGCGTCAGGTATATTTAATCACTGTGCTGGCAATGGTCTTGGCAGTGTTTTTTGCTCAGATTCATCCCAGTTACCTCACACAACAGTGGCACAGACTTCGCTCCATCATCTTCTGCTCCGTGTCTGGATACGGAATCGTTCCCACCATCCACTGGGTTTGGCTCAACGGCGGCATTGGTGCATCTATTGTACAGGTAAAAGAGAAAAAGAGTTCCCTTTTACGTTTTGCTTTTCCTTCAGTCCTCTTACACTTTGGAAAATGAGGGGGAAGTGGCACAGACTTCTTTCAGACCATCCAATCTAAATGCAATCACTTAGAAGTTTATTAAGCAGTGAACAGGTTGAGTAGAATAGATCTGATGTAAAAGTGCACTATAAGAAGGAAAAGCGGATGCAAGGGTGACTGGGCATACATGCCTGAAGAACTGAGCATACCCTGTGGGAACATTCCACCCTGGCTCATCCCAGGGAGAGGGGCAGGGTCCAAGAGCTGAATAGACTGCAGAGCCACCATGGCTCCAGAGGAGACAGGGGAACTGGGATACACTGATGGAATGAGTACTGGCTTCCTCTTCTGTCTCCTAGGTTGGCAGCAAAAATCAGTATTTGCCTGCTCAGATCTCTGTCTCTTACACAGCCATCATTTCACATCACCATGAAGTAACCAAACTATTTTCTTGTTGTTTTATTACCACTTAGAATTATGCTCTGGGGAATAACCAGCACAGTACAGCTGGAGACAGTAACTTATGCCCCAATATGAATACCCCCAAAATCATATTGCAGCTCCCCAGGGGACCTAACTGTCCTGAAAAAAAGATATTTATTTTATCAGAGTGAGTAGTAACTGCATGGCAGTCCTGGGGTGAAGGTTTGACTAGATGAGCTTAAAGGTCTTTTCCAAGCTACTTGATTCTGTGTTTCTGTGTTCTGCTGGAGGGCTGTCACTGGGCCTCTGCTGGGGCTTAGCCCCGTCCAGAGCTACTCTTGAGCATGGAAGAGCAACATTTATGGATGTATGTAGTCTTTAGACAGAGCACTTGACACTGGCTTTTGCAAAACCAGATAAACTGTAGTTGTCGCCCCCCACATCTTCCCCCATTTAGTGTCTCCTTGTATAGCAGAATCCCAGCTGGTAATTGAGATCTTCCACTGAAGTCTCACTTATCCTGTGAGACTCAGTGTATTGGAAGATGTCCTTTGACTGAGAGATGTCATGTCGTCTGCAGACTGCACAGAAATACCAAGTAGCTTGTGTACTGAAGCAGAGAGGGCATGATAAAACAAGTTTCTTCCCATTCAGATTTTCTCAGCCTTGGGCAATTGCTTTCCTCTTTGTCTGTAGATAACAGGCAGTAAAGTAAGATGCAATTTTGTCATGCCTTTTTCATTTGCAAGGACTTCATTTTTTGCTATTTTTACTTTCTACCAGAATAGGAGAGCTTCCTTTTCTTTTGCAGGAGTTTGCTCCGCGTGTAGTTGTCATGTACTTCATCGCTGCTGTAGCTTTTCTCTTCTATATTTCCAAAGTTCCAGAAAGATACTTCCCAGGTAGGAAATCCTCTTCTGGATGGTTTTGGTTTTTTTCTGCAGTTTAGCTTCCTGCAGTGTCACAGTCCTTGCTGTGAGTCCTCACCTTCCTGTGAGAACAGACTGACCACATTCCCCATGAAGTGTTCTGTATAGTAAAACACTGTGTACTTGCATCCAAAGGTGACCAACAACTTGGGATCAAGTTCGTTAGAGAAACTGCGGTGCTTCCCTGCAAGTGGCCTATGTAGTTGAGGTCTGGAGGAGACTGATTGCTAGTTGTGCAGCATGAGTTATTGCCAAATGGAATGACTTGACCACTGCCCTTTCTCTTGCCCACAGGCCAGCTGAACTACCTCGGCTCAAGTCACCAAGTGTGGCATATCCTTGCGGTGGTGATGCTGTACTGGTGGCATCAGTCCACAGTGTACATCATGCAATACCGACACAGCCAGCCCTGTCCTGAGTATAGCCCAGGCTTGTAAGTGAAGGTACAGCAGCTCTCATACTACTGGGAATAGGGTTTTCTAACGAGTGTAGAGTTAAGTACTCCTGTCCCAAGTTTCAGTCAATCTCCCTCATTAGTTTCCCCAAAGGAAACGATGGCTGCTGTAGCACTTGTGGTAAAGAAAAAAGTGGTGATTTTGAGGCCAGGGACTGCTCATTTCTACTGCTGTATTACATGAGGCTGCAGTATCCTTGAGCAGTCCTAGAGCAGACTGGACAGGGCTCTGCCAGATCCCTTTCAGCTCTGTGCCACAATGTAATAGCCTCAAACTGTCATTAGCCTTTGTTCCCAAGTAGTCTTGTCCTCAGGTTTTGTCAGGTTTTCAGCCTACTAAGTATGGAGCTGGATTTTTTGTTAATTGGGTAAGAGTTAATCAGTGGTGGATGCTCCATCCGTGGCAGTGCTCAAGGTAGGAGAGCCTTGGGTGACATGGTCTCGTGTGAGGCATCCCTGCTCATGGCAGGGGGTTGGAACTAGATCATCTGAAGGTCCTTTTCAACCCAAACCATTCTGTGATTCCATATAGATAGTGACTGAGCTTGGTTTCCCACTGTATTTCAGATGAAATTTCTGACGTTGAGGTCTGCACCTTACCTGCTGAGCTGAGTTATGAGGTGAAGCACCGAGGCAGTTCCTTTTCTGACTTCTGGACTGTTACCTGGTTGCTGTTGGGTTATGGTGACACTTGAAAAAATGAACAGCGTGGCCTGGGATCTGAGATGCATTTTCTTCCTGTTCTGCATTCCAGTATAAAAAGGTCTTCCTGGAGTGTGACAATGGAAAGATGGGCTGTAAGACTCAGCGTTTGTTCTGCTTGGGAGACAAAACAACAGAACTGAGTGAAACCTGCTGAGCTCCCCAGCCCACATACCCGGTATCGAGGTTTGGTTCAAGTGCATCAAGACACAGCTCCTGGCTGTATGTAAGCCCACAGTAACTGTGGGGCCTGGTGCTGGATCTAAATCACAGTGGTACAGCATGTTGCAACCACAGCATCTTTATCTGAATGACTTTCATCAGCATTAGCACGGTAACATATTATCTCTTTTACTTCCTTGGACAAGCTCTTCTTTTTCTGGAAGACAAGATCGGTGTCATCCACCACAGCCACCCCTTCCTTTCAGATCCTAAAACTTGCCAATATAAATAGTGCCGTTAATTCAAGAGATCTCTCTAGATCCCTCCAGCAATTTGGAATTGGTGTTCTAAAGTACTTCAGGAGCAGTGCTAAACCTGTGTGCTCACCCTTGTTACTGTCTTGCAATCAGCAGAGTTGCTAAGAATTAAATTTACATTTGTTTAATAGGCTGAAATAACACATCCCAAGTAGGGAACCTGCTGGGGATTCAAATCACTGTCTCTTGGCCTTTTACTGTGGGATGTGCAGTACTGTACTTGCAGACTTTGTTACTGAAAATAACTTGATTGCCATAAGCCTGCCACAGTAAAAAGGTTGCCTTTGGCTTTAGAATGTCATGAAACCAGCTCTTAGAAACTTTAGGGAGTTTATAACTTACAAACATTAGGGAAACACAAAATGCAGAGGTTATTAGGTAGCTGTAGCATAATTAACCTGAGGGGTGCCATTTTTCCAACAGGATTGGAATTCTTTGGATTTGGGGATTAGAATCAGTGTCTTTAAGTGACTTCTGTGTAGCAGTTGTACTTGTGTTCGGAGTCCAGTTGAACAGTGGTAGCAAATGCTGTTTCTTCACACAATCCAGCCATTAGTCAACATTAGCCCTGTGGAGTCCTTTGCTTGCCTCAAGGTGCTGTTACCATTTAATCCCATGTGGCTCATCTGGGAGAAGAGCTGTTGAAGGACGAGGTGGCATCAGCGTGGCTGGTATTGGAAAGCAGGAGATAACCTTGTTTCTGCTTTAATGCCAGGCAGAAACATTCTGGTCTGAGATTAAGTGTCCCAGCTGCCCTTGTTACCTGCAGGGTGGCCTTTGAGAACATCACAGCAAACTTCTCATATTTTGTGATCCTCTGACACCAGCCATCTTAAAAATCACTGATATGGCCTGGTAGGATTTCAAACAAGTTCTCTTACTCCTGAGGCCAAAGCACAGGGGAATACACTTCAGACAACATGCTAAGAGCTCTGTAACACGCAAGAAGCCCTTAAAAACACTCTCGCCTTTGCCACTGCTGTTCCCTTTCCTCTAGGAGGGATTTCCTCCATAAATTTTAGCTCACAGGGAGGGGAAGAGGGCTGCCTTGGTGCAGTGTCCTCCTCAGGGCAGACAGGCTGCTCTTGGGTTCCCCTATGCTGCTGCTTCTCCAGCCTTCCCTGTCAGGGCTCTGCCAGTGACATACAGAAAACTGATGAAATCTTACTGTCAGGCACCTGAACTCTAGTTGGGGGTGGAGAAAGCAGGACACCAACTTCTCTCCTGATGTGCTGGTGTGTAACACCAACTGTCTCTTAATTTCAGTGGGTTGTTGTGGGGTTTTTCCAAGTCCAGGAATAAGTAGCGAGAACTGACTTTGACTCCCTGACTTCGAGCCTTTCAGTGTAAACACTGATTTTATTTATTTATTTATTTTTAATTTGACAGCCAAGCCAGTTCTAAGTGCACTGATTACTACTGCTGAAGCCTGAGGAGGAACCAGCAAGTAGAAAAGCCCATTTCCAATGTTATGTGAAAAAAAAAAAAAAAAAAACATTTGAAGAACATGTGTTTGTGTATTGAGAGCATACTGACTTGATAATTCTCTAAGGTATTTTTATGTCAGCTCTCACCTACTGTAGCAGTTTTCACTGGATCAGGAAACTGACTGCCAAGATGTACATTTTTATTACCCTGAACTTTATCAAGCTGCATGATGGTCTTCTATGTATGTACTGAACCTGTAAATAAATTCCACTTCATTGGCCATTTCCTTGAAGTAACATCATTCTTGCATCTCACACAGCAGAGCCACAGATGCAAACTGCTCAACCACACAACATCTGTCACCTCCCCTGTGTTTTACACAGACAGGTGGACTGTCTCTTCAACTCCCACAGCATGGGAGGCACAGGGCGGGTGTTCCAAATGCAGTACTCCAGCACTGCATGTAGTGTATTCTACTAGTGGTACATAGTGTGTTGTAGGCCTTAGCAAGTAATACTGAACCTAACAAATTGCAACTAGAATCTCATCAACAGGTTTTTAACAACGTGGACAGAGAAAGCTGGTTCGGCAGCAACTAAAAAAAGTACCTTAAAACATTTTTTAAAGAGTGACAGGATCCTGCAGCTATAAAAAGCAGAAGCAGCACCACTTACAGCAAGTGAATTACAGACTAAAGGTGAATACTTCTAAGGAGATGTGAAAGCCACTGTTACCACATTTGTTTATTTGACAACTGCAAGTGTTTCATGACATACATCAGTTGCACAAAAAAAAAGTTAAAGTTCTCTGTTTAGTGGTACACAAAAAAGCTTCAGAAACTTGAAATCTAACAAGAAGTGGAAGTGTAGTTCAGGAAAGTGCACTTAAAAGCTGAATGCCAGCAATTTAAAAAGAGTTTTTATGCTCTTTTCATATTAGGTGATGCCTTAGTCACAAATTGAGCTACACACACAATTTCCTTGTTTTTCCTTTTGAAATAAGCACTATGGAGCAGTAACGCAGCAGCTACCCTTCCCACTTCTTTTTCCTCTTGGTACTTTCACTCCTAATCACTCCCTCAAGTCACACAGAAGTGATTGTGGCCGCTGTGTTACTAAAAACACAGCTACTTCAAGAGATACAGGATGTGTGCGAACATGTGTATGTTTTATATATACTTTCCATATATAAAAATACACGATATAGTATAAAAAAAACTCCAGATAAACTCTTATTCTCACAGTAGCAAATATATCAACTTATTTTCACAGTACTTGTTTTTTCTAAGTTGGTACATCCCAAATAATGAGAATTTCCATTGTCCCAAGCTGGTATTCATGGTGATGCGGGTCAGTCAAAGCCATTGCACACATCTGGCAGCATGGGATAGTCTGCAGGGAAACACTACTACCTTTTCTTTCCAAACCCACAATCATTAAGGACTTCTTCATACCTTTCAACAGTCTCTCTCAAGCAGCTGATTTTAAAAGGCCTGGGGTTCAGTCATTCAATGTGATGAAAGGAGAGCTATAAAAATCAGTAAGTGGTGTCAGCTGGAAGGGAAGGGTCAGCTACTTACCTTGCCATTCTTGGCTTCACAGACAGTATATGGTATGTGTCTAGTGCAGCAATGTCTTGCCTGTACTAAAGGTAAGGTCACAAGCACACAAATAAAGGCTGAAGGATAGCGTGTTCGCTGACAGGACCACATTTGACCAGTGGATCTTGGCTGAAATTCAACCCAAACTTGGGTTTAGTTATGTATAAACAATACATACCCTACAAAATCAACGTCACCAGGCATGTTGATCTCTCTTCAGCCACAAGAAAGGCTACAGTAATTTTAACTCTAGAAATAAGACTCAGATTTATGCAAAAACCTGTTTCATAACTAGGATTTGCAGAACAAGGTTTATTAAGGCCATCAGTAAGCAAGTCTCATCAGCCACAACTTGCATGTTTTTGAAAAACTTGCCAGTTTTAGAGCAACTTGGGTTTGCAGTTTGCTTTTACCTCACCTCTAGTTTCTGCTGACATCCTCATTTTCTTGTGCTGGAACACAACCTCTGCCAAAACCCAAACCAACCAGCCACGGAAGGAAACCTGCAGCATACCTCAGCCTGAAGTCTTGGGGTGAGCAGACAAAAAACAAACACATTTCCTACTCTTCATTCATGTAGACATTAAGGCCCACACTAAGCCTTTTCCCTGGGTGTCCTTTTGGGCAGTGGAGCTACACCTCAGTCCCACGCCCACTGTTCACCCTCCTCTGGCTCCAAGTTCAGGGCCTGCTCTGCCATTTGCTTTTCCACCATTTAAAAAACAGGGGTCAGTTGCCTGTTGTATTCTTCTCTTTTTGTTTTCTCCCATCTGCTCTATTTGTCATATCCCTCTGTTCCAGCAGCTATCTAGGCAGGGAAGGAACAGCTCCAAAGGAAACTGTAGGAAAGCAGTTCATAAGCACACAGAGAAAAGGAAACAAGGAAAATCAGAGAGTTAACCTGAGTATCAGAAATTGCTACAAAACTTGGCCTGTGCTTCTTACAGCCTTTGGCACCAAACAGACACGTGAGAACAGCAGTAGTAAAGCCTAGGACACTCCTGTGCAAATGGAGTTGAAGTATTTCTACTCATAACCTTTTAAGAGCTTAACTTCTAAGCCTGAACAAGGCAGCTTTCAAGCACAGCTGAAATATTTCATACTAACCCTGTGAGAACACAAAACCAAGGAGAATGAAGGTAATGAAGACCTACAGATACAGACAAGATACTTTCCAATTCCGAGATCAGAGGAAGCAATCTCACATATATTCAAGGGAGCATTTTAAGAAACCAACCCCCAAAGGAGTCAAATGACTTGCTCCTATGTGTTGCTTCCAACAAACATTGTCAGGGATCTACCCCTAGCATCACACATCTCAGGACACCTGGATAACTCACAGGAGACTTTGTAGAAAAATCAAGTACAACCCTAAATATTTCACTGTGAAAGGCAGGGCGGGGACGACAGGGGGATGCACTACCACAAACACGTCCTTTGTATATAAGCATCCAGTTATCCGCTCATCAGCATTCAGCTGAGCAGGATATAAAGCTGAGTCAAGCAGAGGAACCATTTCCTTCCACTTCCTCTGTAGAACTGCCATGGAATAAAGGCAGACTAATGGACTGTCCCAAGTTACGCATGCTTGGCACAGGTTGCAAGGCAGCGGAGAAGCCATTGCACCTACACACAGCACTCACTTCAACAACATGGTAACAACACCTTGTCCTCAACAGGGCTGTTCACATCACCTTCCCCTTGCCTACAGGTACTGCATGCTCCCAACACCAGGTCTCTCAAAGGTCCGGTGAAGCAGGATGGGCTCCTGCCTGTAAGGCTTTGTGGTGTGAAACGCAGTGCACTGGTCCAGCTGCCTCCTGCTTCTGCTCCCAAAGTTGGGGGCAGAGAGTTTCTTCAAAGCTCAGTGCATTTAGCAAAAATTTTCTTAGAAAACATGCTTAAGTACAGCAATAGAGTCATTAGACCGTAAAAGAAATTAGTCCTTTCATAAAATTGTTTTTAAAAAGCCTACTGATTTGAAGCAATACACATTTTCTTGGCAATAAAAATTCGAGAGGAAAAGGTGTTTTCAGACACAAATCCCAATTTGTAATCGAGTAAATCTGATGGTTGCATCTCACAACTGTACAAGTCATCTGATATATTCCGTATGTGCCAAATGATGTCCTGTGTATACCAGCCTCTTCTCAGCGCACTGAGTAGTCTCTGAAGTGCTGCAGACACTGGCTGCATCCCTTCTGGTTTACTCCCCCACATTCAGGTTTTTCATCTCACAAAGGATTATGTTCTCTGTATCTTCAGTTTTAACCCTACACTTCCAGTTGGCTATTTTACATTAACAGCACTTAACTGTAAAATACAACAAAAAAAAATAAACATTTAGGCACAGGAAAAAAAATATCTGCCTTTCATCTCTGCAGCTGCATAGGCGTCTGCTAGGACCTGAGCCACAGTCATGCTCTGGAACTCTGGGCCACAGCCCCTTGAGGATTTGACTTCTTGATTTTCATTATTAATAAAGGTAGTTTTCTTTTAAGAAGCACAGACTTGACTGCTTCCAGGAAATCAAACTGGATTTTGGTTCTCAGGTCTACGGCAACCAAGACGTGAAGTACCACCACAGTGGTAACCTACCTGTACATACAGAAAAGGTTGGTTGTGTGATCTCTGCCTGACCCCTTCCCTCCACTGCAGCAAATCACAGAGGATTGAAAAGGCAACGCAAAAGTGCAGAGTCACAGTATGTCCCAGGGCCCAGCCGCAGACAATGTCTGTCTTATTCATCTCCAATTTCACTTTTCACTCCAGAAGCCATCTGCCACAACAAAATGATGCCCCTGGGTCAGCTTTAATTAAAAAAAAAAACAAAAAAAAAACAAAAAAAAAAAAAACACCAAACAAGACCAAACAAAAAACACCCAATCAGAATTTGCCATTGTTCCAAGTTTCACTGTGCAAGCTGTCCCTGCCTCCTTGAACTTGAACAAACTGTACAACACAGGTCCCTGTAACAGATAAATTACCCCACTAATTAAAACCCCTAGTAAGTAACTCAGAGAAGCAGAGCAGGGGAGAAACCCATTGGAAGCATTTACTGTTTGGAAGGAAATGGAGCTGCTCCAAAGGGATCTAACTCGAGTCCCTGTTGCTGCTGGCTCTGTGCACTCTGCACAACCAGTTCTGTGAAGGGCACTGCACCAAAGTCATCTGTTTTCAGCCCCTCACCACCATGAATGGCTCTGTGCAAAGAGCTCTGCCTTGGTCTGCCAGCCACTACCACTGCTCCATGATCCCCAGAGCCATCACCAAAACCTTGGTGCTGGGGATGCCGCAGCAAGTCTGGTGGATGGAAGGGTTTGGCTCCAAAAGGATCCAGCAGAGTTTCATCTGCCTGCAGAGGGTTGGCTCGATCTTTGCCATCAGTCAATGCAACGCTAATGTTCTCTTTGGAGTCTGAGATGGTCAGGAATTCATTGCTGCTCTGCGAGTCCCTGCGGCCAGCTTTCTTGTGCCTGCGGGCTCTCTCGGGGGTACGGTAGCTGGGTTTCAGAGCCTTCTTCGTGGTGGTTGGGGTGCCATGGTGCCGCTTCCCATTGTTCTTTGACACCTCTGGTTTCATTCGCCTTTGGCGGGAAGAAAGTTTCTGTAGGTTACGCTGCTGTTTCATCTTCTGCTGCTGACTCCCTGTGATCTCATCAAAAGGAACCAGCCCAAACAGGTCCTCTCTACTCCCACCAGTCTTGGGGAGAAGGGAAGGCTGAAATGGGGTGCAGCCAAAAATATCAAGGCTCCGCGGAGAGGTGGGAGAGAGCAGAGGCTCGGTTCCTCCCACATGGCCATCTTGCCGAGACACCTTTTTGCTGAAGGGGGCTTTTGTGAAAACATCGAAGTCATCCTGCTCTTGGCTCAGGCTGGGAAAAGTTGCCTGAGAAGAGACATCTTTGTCCATCTCTCTTGCCTGGGGCTGTAGAGTGAAGAAGGGCACTGCCCCAAACACATCAAATTCTTGGCCAGGGCTCACTGGGATTATAGTACTTTGCACCTCAGACAAGGACATATGCATTGAAGTGGGTTCTTTGATTTCACCACTGCCAATACCATCTCTGAACCTACCACTCGGGAGCCCTTCCACAGACTTTTGCTTAGTACGATCAGAATCAGAGTCAGAACTTTGCTTCTCTTCCTCCTCTTCCTCCACCTCTTCCTCAGAGTCCATGAGGAGAGGTCGGTGGCCTAAATTCTCCAGTTCTGCATCATTGTCATCATTGAAGTCTCCATTCTCTCCCTGCAACACTTCTTCATCCTCCTGTTCTTCTTCCTCACTGCTCTTGGGAGAAGGAGGATCAGATTCAAAATCACTCTCTGACTCATTGCCACCTTTTGTCACTTGTCCCTCTGCAGTCTTCCTCCCTGGCTGGGGATCTCTAAAAGCATGGCTCAGCTTTCCAGCCTTGGTTGGCATCCCTAAGTTATTTCCTTGATTACCAGCTACGTTATCAGCTGGTTTTCTAGGGGAACCTGCAGGTCAAAGAGAAACACAAAACAAAACTTGAAATACACTCAAAGTCAGTACTTGTTCCACACACACACACCATAGCCACATACACAGAGCAAACACCTTTTCTGTGCTGACTGAGAGAAATGAGCTAAAACCCGTATCTAACATTTCAAACAATAGTAAAAACTATTTAGGTGCCTTTTCAAGAGATCCTTCGAGACTGACCCACAGCGCCAAGGTTTTTACCATACAGTCAGGTAAGCGAGGCAATACTGACATATTCAATGCAGCTTCAAACCCTCAGTGACACTGAACCTCCACAATTAGCCCCTTCTAACTTTTAGTGTAGCAATATAAGCAAAAACAAAAAAAAGACCAAAAAAAGCAAAGACAAAAAAAGAAAAACCAAAACCCTACTGCTTTAACTTCAGTTTTAGAGCAGAGTGTTCTTGTTTGTTTCTGAACAGGATCTGTCAGCCCAGTTTCTCTACAGGAAAGAAATTTGTTTTACCCTGACACCTTTACCTCATTTTTTTAATATATAGTAAATAATTATCTGAAAACTAGAGCTAAAAGAACAATTCACTGATGACTTTTGAAGGGTGGTTGGCTTAGAAATACTTTGCGCCAACTGATGAAACAGTGAGCAAGACCATGCAGAACATGCATATGGCACTCAGGCAAAACAAGTTCTTCCTTATGTTGGAGCCCTGTTGCTGCACAAAGATATTTTCAGGAGTGTTAACTGTCAGATTTTTATTTGAAGAGAAGGAAGAAACACTTGGTCTTTGATGGGGAAAGCGTATTTGCTCCTGAGATGTCTGTTTCTGTAGGACACAAATCACAAGGCAGCCACACAACTTTCAGAAGGCATAACTGAATTATAGAACCAACTAGATTGGAAAACACCTTTAAAATCATCAAGTCCGACCTTTGCCCCAGCACTGCCAAGGCCAGTAAACCATGTCACTGAGGGCCTCACCTACACAGTTTGAGAACACTTACAGGGACACCATTCCCTGGGCAGCCTGTTCCAATGCCTGACCACCCTCTTGGTAAAGAAATTGTTCCTAATCTCCAGTCTAAACCTCTCCTGGTGCAGCTTGAGGCCATTTCCTCTTGTCCTAGAACTTGTTACTTGGGATAAGAGATGAACCCCACCTCACTACGACCTCCTTTCAGGTAGGTGAACAATTAATGCTAGTAACAGCAATGATAATTGATGTCTCTGCACTCAAATTTTCAGTAGTTTCTCTGGGTCTGCAATCCTTTGAAGCAAGACTGTATTACAGTCACTCCAGGCTGAGTATTATGTGGGCCCCAACCTTTAGCTGGGAACCAGAACAACAGCAAAACCAACTGTATTTCCACAGCCTATGCTTGCCTGACAAGTGCACCAAGTTCACGGTGATCCAGCTAGGAACAGCCACGTACCAACACACTGCACCAAATACTACAGCCCAAGTTCTGGGTACTTACTTCTTACACCTCTGCTACCCGACATAAACCTGAGGCAGGGGTTGTTCCTCATTAGAGCAGTTACTAACAAGCTCTGCCCACAGCACAGCACTACACTGCTAACCCTAACCCTCTCACCTATCCAAAATTAAAACAGCTTGGAAAAACAACTGCTGAAATGTAATCCATTCCGTGTGTTCATAGGATTGAAAAAGCTGGGAACAGATGTGTACACCAGTTATTTCTCTGAAACAAATCCTCAGCCAGAATCCAGCTGTGACTCTCTTGTTCTTACAACATCCAACATAATTTCTCAAGTAATTTCTGCTTTCACAAGGAAATTAATAGGCAAGTTCCAGGCCAAGTCACATTTTTTTCTTTATATGCTCCAGTTTAGACCAGAATATTAGGGTTTTACATGAAGTATTTTTTCCTTCCTTAAAGGAATTAACAACTGATTTCTTCATCCAGTCACCATTCTGCTCTGTTGCAATTACACTTTAAATAACAATAAAAACTCCTCAGCAATATATTCCATGTATGGATTTAAAAACAAGATGACCAGAATGACTAAAACCATCCAGTGATTAAGGCTTTGAGTTGTTTCTTCTGTTTCTGGTGTCAGATTGCTTCTTATCTACTGTAATTTTACACACTACAAATTTGCTTTACCCACTAAATTAGAACCTGGATTATTTGTGCTTACTTTAGATTTCCCAAAGGTACAGCCTTCACGTTGCACTCTATAACCCTCTAGCTTCCAAACCCTGCTGTTCCCAATATTTACTGAAACACTAACGTTAACATAAAAGCAATTAGATCTAAAAGGAGAAGAAAAAGGAAGTATTTCTAGGCTAGATGTTAACATTACTTATGCAAAAAACACCCCAAGCCTTTTCTGTAGGGCCATATCCACAAGTTTGCACTCCCAAGCAATGATTACACCTTTGTATGTAATTTGTATGCAGAAAACAAGTTTTGATATTTTTTTTTTCAAACAAGAACTGAATTAGAGTATACCTAATAGACCTGACTTCCTAAAAGGTTTAAATATTTTTCAGTTGCTGTCACACTCATGTGCACTGGAAAATAAACTGCAAAGAACAACAACAAGGCAAAACCCCAACTACCAACAGCTGCTGACTTACTGAACAAGTGATTTAAGCCACAGGATGTATAGCTTACAGTAGCAGACCTCTCTGGACAGAACACAGATCAAGCAGGACTTGACAGCACATGCCAAAATCCTCAAAGCGGTTCCCAAACCATACTCAATGTACTCATACTGACACAAAAGCCACTGCAACAGGTCTTAATAGACACACCTAGAACTGTCATTGCTGACAGTATGCAGCAAATGATTCAGGGACTCAGTCATTCAGACAGCCTAGTTTTTAAGGAATCTATATTAGCATCCTGTATTTCTTCTCTTCAGTCTACTACTGTATCTAGGAAACTGGGATGAAGACAGGAACTATTCATTGAGCAATCCCCCTTACTGGAGATTCCTGTTCTATAGTAGACAGAGAGCCTGTGTACTTGTAAGTGTTTGTTCCTACACATGAGAAAAAGTCTTCTCAAGTATCCCCATTCTAAAGTCACTTGGAGATATTGCTAGGATATTGATTTTTCCAGCCACCACATCTTATCCACAATGAGTTTGGTTTAGTCCCAATAACAGGGAGAAAACAGCAGCAAACTGGTATCCAAACCAAACCAAACATTATCCTGTGCTAAGCTATGGGTTTTAAACCTTTGACAATTGCCTTTTCCACACCACCATTCCCCCTCTTCTAAAGAAGTTAGCAAACTACACAAACACAGCGAGTACTACAAATAGAAACAATGCTCCAAAAGAAAAAAGGTCTCCAACGACTATTTAATGTTCTGAGCAAGTAGGTATCAAAATGAAGCATTCTGTCAGGTAGATTTCATGCCACCTTCTGTACCTTACTAGATGCAGAGCCTGTTTATAGAATCACAGACTGGTGATTTGGGTGGGAAAGGACCTCAAGATCATTCAGTTCCAACCCCCTAACCCATGGACAGGGATGCCTCACACTAGACCATGTCACTCAAGGCTCTGTCCAACCTGGCCTTGAACACTGCCAGAGATGTATATGTTCAGATATGTACTTATAGAAAAATGCTGCAGAATGTTGAGTAACATCTGTTTGTAATGTGCTGTTCAGATTACTACACTTCTAATCAGGTTTACATCCCCTAGGAGACAATTGTTCTTTGCTCAAATGTGAGCCAGGTGGAACATCTTTAATCATATAAGATGATCCCAATCTTCAAGGAAATTTTCTCTTCTGATGTTCTTTTTCGAGACATCCGATTATAAGGGGATGAATTCACTTCAACAACTGCAGTAATTACATGCCTTCTGCTGGTTCATCATTTTAGGGCATTGGAGGGGGGGTTGTGAGGAGCTTTAAGCTTCCTTGGAATTGGTAACATACTGCCACCATCACTGCACAACAATTTGCCACATGTCAAGCCCAAGGATTACAGACCTGCTGCAACTAAATCTGCACTGTTGTTCTGACAGCAGCCAGAGCAGCAGTTGCTGAGTATTGTAGTGGTTAGGCCATTCAAGGCCACATCGTGGCCAAGTCCTTGCTTACCACTTTTATTTTCAAGAACAAAAAGGGGTGAATAAAATAGCCATTGCTTATATATTCTTTCAAATAATTACTCTACAGATTGAAGAGTGTTATACAACAGAAGTGATAGGTGATCATGACTGCCCTAAGATTTGAGACAAAGAGAGAAATAATCATTTTGGAGTGACAAAGCACACCACTGCCCTAGGCCAAGCCCACACAGATTTTGTCTTCCGATGTGTGAATAAGTTTGAGTTACTTCTGAAATGCTAGCTAGGAATTATCTGCCTGAACCAGCATTCAGCAAATAGTGAAACCATAGCCAAGGAGACGTTATGAAATAACATAGGCAGTATTTTCATTGAGCAGTATTTTCATTCATATTGATAAGAACTTATTTTAATTTTCAATTTACCTATACCAACAGCCACATCGAGTTGCAGGTCTGGGCATCTTTTCATAAGCAGCTCAAGTACATAAATACCCAAATTAAACATGAGCTGATGACATGAGCTGGTTTAGTGTTGCACAGAAAAGGGCCTTTAAGCCTTTCCATTTCTTCTGTTCTCACGTTTATAGTTTCTTCCTCAATTGTAATGAATTGTACTTCAGTTAAAGTTCTGTCAGGCAGATTTCATGCCATCTTCTATACCTCATCTGATGCAGAGCCTGTTCACAGAACTACAGACTGGTTCAGGTTGCAAAGGACCTTACTCCAGACTACACAGTAGCCCAAGGGCTCCAAAGTCATGGCACAAAAACTTGCAGCAGTGGTTTGAAACGGAGTTAGAAGCAGTACATGATAATGTAACCACATGATTACTTGTCAGCCATGTTTCTTCATGTTAGAACAACACATTTCCCTGCTCTAACACAGTGAATGCTCATAATCAGCTATTGCAGCAGAGTCCTTTCAAGGCCATGCTGTGGCCAAGTCCCCAGCCAGTTTCCACTGTTCTACCACAGTCCATGCAGCTGCCAGTAGCAAATTACATACCACACCACAGAAGTGCTGTTATTCCAAGACAGAAACCAGGATCATATGAAGACACAATCAAGTCTTTGAGTGCAGGAAGCCTGGAAGTCACAAAGCTGCTACAGAACTAAACTTACTTTTTATCCCCAGTCTCTGCACAAACATGCATGCAGTTGACAGGGAAGGGGTTACCTACATACATTAGAAAAAACAGTGGAAACTATTAGTGTAAGCTAATATAAGATGACAAAAGGACACTGAGTACCACCCAGCAAAGTATATTACATTGATGACATTTCCTTCTTCTAATTTGAAAATAGCAGAAAATGCGTGTGTCTTCCGAGTTTCTGAAACTCAATGTTAACAAAGGACATTAACAACACAGCTGATTAACAGAAACTTGCATCAAAAGCTTCCATTCCAAAATCCTGACCACAGGAGCCAGTTCTTCCACAGTCACCATCTAGTTTTTCAGGCATTCAAGAACCAGATCTTGTTTTCCACGTTTGGTTCCTGTCCTCAAGGCTCCATTAACTTGCTACTCAGCGGTGCTTTCTTTCTTTTTCCCCAATGTGTTTGCAGGGTTACTTTCATTTCTACTAGACTGAGCACTGGAATTCTCTCTCAAGCCAATTTTCATTTCCAGCTATTTCAAGTTCTAAGTCATTACTATTTCCCACATTTATGCATAAAATAGTGTGTATAGCAAGTTTACATGCAGTCCTTATGAAAACACTTTTATTAGTATATACACCACATATGGCTAACAGTAAGTGCTTCTACACGATCAACTGTTTCCCAATATGAGGAACCCAACAGTATGCTAATTCATTTCCCACCGTTTGCCCTCTGCGCAGCACATCAAGTGACACAGCTATCATTCCTGGCTTTCCAAGAACAGGAACAGACACTCTGGTGGAGAAGCACCCTTAGTCCAACCAGCTCCAGGTTCTCCTTCCCAGTGATCCTTGCAGCAGCAGTGGCCTGAAATGCCCTCTCAGCTCCACAGGGAAACTCCCAAGGGCTCATCACTTGCAGCACCCCACATTTCTTTCCAGCAATAATAAAAGGTTTCAAATGTCACCCTCTGCATCTCCCTTGCATCACCTTCCTGGAGACACATGTAAGAGTTACCTGCTAGCACTTACTTTGCTGGACTACCAGCACTTCATGTGAAGTCCAGGCAAAAGATGATACACCACCTTCTTCTTCTTGCTGCTGTCTCACTCAGATGATAGAAATTAGTTTTGTATTTAACTGCTTTTAGCAGAGAACCCTTAGGCCTCAGAAACAAAGTAAGTACTCTGGATGACTCTAAGCTACACTCCCATAACATTTATGAACCCAAGACCCACATCACACAGCAAAAATAACCAGAGCAGAAAGACCAGAGTTCCAGCTCCAAGGTTGGTAATAGAGTAGAACACTTCTTCAATAGAAACTGTCATTGTTTTAACAAAGCAGAATTTTCTTTTTATTTTTCAATACTCTCTATTGGTAACACCAATCATCACAATTCAAGCAGTCAGGATTCAGTAGAGTTAAACCTGGGTGAGTAATGATAATGCTCTGTTATTTGCATCGTTAGCAAGGAGGTGAAACTTCTGCTCAGACTAGATCAGGACATGCTCTCACCCAAAGACTGGAATTGTGCTCAAGATATTAAACCTCTGTTCCACTTCCTATTCAGGCACTTGCCCCTGACACCCTGAGTAAGGTACACATGCAGCTTACTTCTTAGTTAAATCTTTTATTATCACAAGGAGCAAACCAGGAAGAACATATTATACAAAGATGTGAAGTACAAGAAGAAATATTAAATCTTAGGGACACGTGCCAAGTTTGTCCTAGACAGCCTTCAACTAGAAATAAAATATGTCTAAGTCAACACTGCTCCCGTTTTCTTCCTTGTCTTACAACAGCTCATTTCAAGATATTTTGAAGAATTCTGTGGGGAAAACAAACCAGCTTTTAACAGACAGATCTTCAGATTTGAACATTTATCAAATCTGATTTGGTTGCTACGTGTAACACAATTAAAAATCCCCTCCTTGAAATCAACCCAGTATGTACACCTAAAATCTATCTCCAAAGTCAGCAGAAAAAAGGCTATTGAAAAACGTACCTTTTTTTTTTTTTTTCCCCTCCAGTCAAAGAGCTAACAATTCACAAGCAACTCAACATTTTTCAAGAAGTCTTTTTTTCAGGCATAACTCAATTGGTTCGGTTTTTTTCCTTTTTTTCTGAAAAGGCATCTCCCCTTGTTTTTTAGTATGTCAGGAATTAAAATTTGGATTCCAAGTAACAAAAAAAAAAAAAGCAACATACAACATGCTACAGTGAAGCGATTCATTTACAATATAAGCTATATTGTAACTATCTGAAAAACAGCAATGAGCAATAAGACTTAAAGCAAGGAACCATACAATCATAGAATAGTTAGGGTTGGAAAGGACCTTAAGATCCCGAAGTTCCAATCCCCCCGCCATGGGCAGGGACACCTCGCTCTAAACCGTATCACCCAAGGCTTCGTCCAACCTGGCCTTGAACACTGCCAGGGATGGAGCATTCACAACCTCCCTGGGCAACCTATTCCAGTGCCTCACCACCCTAACAGGAAAGGGTTTCCTCCTTATATCCAATCTAAACTTCCCCTGTTTAAGTTTTAACCCATTACCCCTTGAATGAAACCAAATCATCCCATGACACGTGGTTACGAATACTCACGACAGGAGAGTAAGTCACCATCTCAGATTAATTATAACTATTACTGTTCCTTTGGCATGTAATTTAGGGTCAGTTATACAATAAAGCAACCTCTTAATAAACACTCCTGGGTAAACCCTTTCAAACTAGAAACTGCACCAACAGAGCAAACATTCCTTCACTTCAGAACTGCTTTCACATTGCACTGCGCTACTGAAGATTAAGAGGACAAAACAAACTTTTCCTTCATGAACAAACAGAAGAAAAGGAGAAACTGGAATGGAGTAACATACCAACTAGAATCAATTCAATTCTTCCTAACAACAGGAGCAGACATGGATGCAGAAGTATTTTCACAAATTACCTTACAGAATACAAGTGTTATCCTACTCACTCTTCACAAGGGAATTTGTGAGCATTAAGTAGCCCTAGTAGATGACCTTCAGGAATGCAAGATGAAAGCAAAAGGAAATACAGAAGCTAACTTAGGTTGACCTAAAGTGATTTATTTTAAGGCATGTTATCTGAGCTTTTGAATTTCCAGTAGAAGAGTTTTTACGAGTCATGTTAAGGCACCTTTATCACACAAGCACTCTCAGCAAAACTTAGGTAGGAGTCTAAGTGGTTCCATAAGTTACTGAAGTTCCTTCTACGATTTAACTGTCACATAGGCTTGAGTTTGCCACAAGTATCAGTCTGCTACAGGTATCAAAAGCAATTATTGAAGCGTTGATCAAGCAAATGTTAAAACTGGCAATGAAACTGCAGGATGAGGCACGGCTGCATGTTCACAGACAACATTCACACACAGTGTTATTCTTACTTCCATCCATGGCCAAACCAAAGCTTAGCTGAAACACAGTAATAAAACCCCCTCTCCCCTCCAAATATACATCACAAAATAATTTGTTTGGACTCAATATGGACAGAAACTATACATTAAATGCAGCAGAAGCTTTACAGTCTTAGCTTAGCTGGAGAACTGAACTTGAGTTGAAAGCAGACTACAGGGAAATAACAAGATTTGGTCTTGGCAAGTAATTCGCTTTTAGCAAAAGCACTTCTAGTTCTATGCAAGTGATTCATGCTGCACTGGTCCAATGTAACCTAACTGTGCAGACTACCTAGTCTGTACACTGCCTAAGTACCAGGAGTTGGGCGTGCAGAAGTGGGTTTTTGAGATAATCAACATTATTAGAAAAATATTCAACTCATTTACTGTCATAAGGCAGCATCATTCTTTGGTCATTTAACTGGAAGTACATACTTCAACAGATACATATATATGACTGCACATATATGAGGTAGTGATGTTACAGATGTAACTTGCCTGGGTGAGAAATGAAAGGAACAGCACCGAAGAGATCTTCAGGAGGATTTTTCTGTGGAACAGAATGTGGCTCCACATTCTTATCTGAAGATACTGTCCTGTCCTGTTCAAGCTGCTGCCTGCCTGTAAAATAAAACAAAAACAAAACAGAACAAAACATAAAATAAAATAAAAATGGCAAGTCTTATGGCTATGCAAAAGGTATCTCTCTGTGCTTTTCAGGTTTTGTACCTCTGTGCTTTTGAGGTTTTCAAGTCAGAAGCACTACACTTAGTTCAAACACAGAATCATCCATTTTATCACAGTTTTGGCCAGCCTTTGCCAGAAAAAGAGGAAAGTTGACAACCACAGCAAAACAGCTGGGAATACTTTTTATTAAGCATGTAACATCTGTTAGTAATCAAAACCAATTTGAGTGTCATAATACAGAGAAACATGGCATCAGTTTTGTACCATCTTCAACCCTTGAAATACAATTTTATTTTAGTTTCCTTTTATAAAGTGACATACAAAAGGTTTTTTAATACAATCAGATATTTAAAGCACTAGGAATGGTAAACAAGTCTTTCTGTCTAAGCTCAGATTCTAACATCGCTGTCAACTCAAGATTGAGCCCACCCAGCTCAACCACCACACCACAACTCAGGAGGGTCCTCCAATGCCCATCAGTGAACATATTTTAAGGCAACTTATTGCACCTTCAGCAAACAACCTACATGCTCTATGTAGAAGACACAGCATTTCACTTTCCCCCTTTCCCACAGCAAGCTGCTGATCTTCCAAACCATTTGCAGCACAACCTTCTTGACAATTTGCCACTGTGGAGAAGCAGCTCAACTGCACTCTACTGACATATCAAGCTACTTTCATGTCTTCTATTCAGTCCTTCAACACAGAAACCAGTAGGCTTTACTAAGACAACCACCAGGAACTAGAGAGCAAGCTCATCTCCCTCAGACAGATGACTATTAACCCTCTGTGAAAAGCCCAGGAGGTTTAGAATTATTCACCATTTTTCACAGATAAGTGTTCTGTTCATATTCAAGTGCCCATAAAGTGAATTGACTTTTACCTACCAGTAGACTCTCCGAAGAAATGCAAGTGAGAGTTGCTCCATTGCAGGCATAAAACAGAATCCCAACTGGGCACTCCTAGTGTAGAGATGAACAAGATTATCCTGCAGTGACACAGCCATGAGGCCAAGAACACTAGCAGTGATGCACCAGCAACTGGCAGCTGGATGTTTTATACAATCAGCTTTGAGCCCTGACAACAGAAAACTGGTGAGCATCACATCCAACAGCAGCATTTGTTCCTGATTCTGAAGTCGCACTGCACTCTCCCCTCCGGAACTGTTTGGGGTTTTGGGTTGTTTTGGTGGCGTTTTTTTTATTTGGGGGTGTGTGCGTTGCTTTATAAATGCAGACTGAATGAAAGATGCTTTTGCTTTATTACCCTTACTGTCTTGCCTCCAGGGGAAAACCCAGTTGACTGCTGCACAGTTTGCAGGCCAAACTCTAGAATAACTTTTAAGGTGCAACAACTACCCTTTGCAGAGTCCTTGCAAATGTTGGCAAGCAAGGCCATGCAAGTTCAAGCTGCCAGATGATGATCAGATCTCCCAGCTTGAACAGCAGGGCCAAGGATAGTGGAAAACAAAATAGATTCAAGTGCTAAGCATACAAGAAAAATGAGGCAAAGTGAGTAAACAGAAGGTTTCAGCTCCTCCATGGCAACCAGGTATATATGTAAGAGGATACACTTCCCTCAAAAATAAAGTTTAAAAATTGTCAATTCATCAGCTCTAAGGCTATTGGAAAAGGAAGAACCATTTTTTCAGTCTTCTGAGGCACAAGTATCATTTGTCCACCTTATAACAAGATACACTTCTGTATCAGAGAGTGTTTGAGAGATAGACAGATGGGTCCTCCACCTTCACACAAGCAGATGTGTAGGAGTGTCAGTATTACTGTACTATGCTCCAGATACCACCTCCTTAAAATAAAAAGCCAAGTTTTCTTCCCCACCTCAGTGAGTAAACACACAAATGCAGCCCAGACTGCTGCCAGAGACACAATCACGCACTGTGTCACACAGCAGACTCTTCTGTAGAACAGTGCAGTTATCCAAAACCATGAAAAAGGAATCCAGCTGTTCCCATGTAAGTGAGAGGCGCAAGGTTCCTCAGCAGACACCTCTCAGGACTTTCAGAAGTACAAGCAGCACTTACGCACAAAGAAAGCCTGTTAAGAACCACACCTCTTCCTTGCACAGATGGCTCAGGTAGCTCCTTCATACTGTACATACTGCAAAGGAGATGGACAGACGTCCAAGCTTTTAGGCTTTGGACCCACAGACGTCCAAGCTTTTAGGCTTTGGACCCACAGACGTCCAAGCTTTGTAGGCTTTGGACCCATAGATGTCTCTGCTGAGGCACCAAGAGGATTCTGGACATCTGCAATTCTATGTGAAGGCTGTGCTGTATTTTTGCCCTGGTGAGAAAGGCGACTCATTTTCTTGGCTTCCAACTCTGCAAAGATTATGAAGTGGTTACAGGAGCTCTTTGTAAGAAGTCCATTTCTTCACAATGATGTCAGAATCTCAGCATCATGTGTTGTTTCTGGATCATCCTTAATACAAACGATGACAACAAAATCAACAAAGAAGCAACAGTGTACACAAGAACCAGAAACTCCCATCGTGTAACTCCATATTAAAGCTCTCCACAAAGGTGCTCAGTTTAGAAAGTTTCATTCAGCTGAACAATATTTTACTACAATTGCCATCTTTTTAATATGAAAACTTCCACAAAGTGTAAGCAAGGTATTCTGTTCCGGGAATTACCTCCCTTTTTAAAGGCAAAGTGATTAATCATCACAGCAATACCATCACTACACACACTATGACATTTAGCTACTAAATGCATGACATCCAACAGTAATGTCAGCCTAACAAAAACTCGTGACATCTGGATCCTCTAACAAAGGCTGTGTAGATTTCATTACTCATGTATTACTGTCAGGAATACAACAGCTTTAGAGATATCTGACAAATTTTAAAATAGTTATAATTTATGGATAAAGCGTCAGCTCAACAATACAAACCAGGCTTTAGGAAGCAGAAGGAAAGGATTAGTGTTTTGAATGCTACTTAGTACCACACATCATCACAGAAAGACAACTTGCATAATGCTGTACATGAGTTATAAGGTACAGGACAGCAATCAGGTTTAGTAACAGAAAAGAAGCATTTATTAAACCTGTATCTTCAAATCTCCTTCTTCTAGATGGCAAAACGATTCACAGTAAACTCAAAAACTGCGTAAAAAAAATTAGCTAGTAATAAACAAAAGATTTCTCTCATAAGAGAAAACCTGCATCCAAAGGGAATAAAGCCTTGATCCTTCAGATGCATCTGAGGAAACTCCAGGAAGTAGTACACAATTAAAGACAATTTTATAGATCTAAGCCTTGTGCAATAATCCCCCAATTTCTTATTAATCCACCTAAGTCTGAGAAAAGAGGAGTAGACAAAATATAAATATTTCTGCTTTGACTGAAGCAAAGGCATTAGCTCTGCAAGGCAAATTCATACCTCTCTGGCACAAAAAACAAGTCTTGAAGTCTTTGATGTATGTATGTATGTGTAAACACAACACACACACACTGAGATTAAAACTAGCACACTCCCCTTTCCCTGGATCTCAAGCCAGAAGACCTAAGAGGCTGGAAGTACACCTCACAGTATGAATGACCAAGCCTGCCACCTAGTGTGCTATTGGTCTAGAGAGTCATTTTAAATTTTTGTACTTTCTGTAATCAAGTGACTAAAAAGCCCTAATGCTGGTTATTACTAAGCAAAACTATGCTGTCACGTTTACTTTCTGATACAGTATATGAAGTTTATTGTCACATCTGGCTCTTCCATGCATCAAATTACCTTTACTAAGACCTGAGCCAAAATCATGCCTAAGTAGATTCAGTCTTTTAAAACTCCAGACTATTTTCACACATGCAGTACAAAAACTGGAGAATGGAACTGTAGTAGTAGTTAACTGTTCTTTCCGCTGGAGATTTAGAGACAGCAGTTCCCAGCATTTAGCTTTACGTTATACAAGCCTTCTTCAAGTCTGAACACTTGCATGGTTAAAAGATGTGGCACTTAGAAAGCATCCAAAATAAGCATGTGTTAAGCAATTAAGAAAAGGAAGTAATCCAAAGTAAAAAACATGGAGATAACCAACTTTAAGAGCAAAAAAGTTTATTCAACTATTGCCATATCAGAACAATAAAGCAGTCCTTACACTTGGCCACCCATCAAAAAGGACATTACAAAACATTAACATAATGTATTAGATCAATTTTCTTTCAGGCATTTTCAAAGGACAGATCCAAACCACAGAATCTTCTGCTTTGGTTTGAAAGAAAAAAAAGCTGGAAAGGAATAAAGCAAGCAGCCAAACTTCTTTTCCTGTCTGACAACATACCTCTGCTGTTAAGAGCTTCTGGCAACCAAGGTGACACAAGCAGTATTTATGGCCTATTACCATTTCTGAAGTATTTGAACCAGTAACTACTGATTTTTGACTGTGAGTTCCTATTGCACACATTTTCAAAAGGGAAAGGAGAGAGACAGGCCCAACTCTGCCCTCAAATGCTCAGAAACAATGTTCTGTACACAGCCTGCATGGCACTTGGCAGGCCCTTGGTGGAAGCACTGAGCAACTACAGAGCCCTTATTTACTGTGAAGCAAAATAAGCCTTCAAGTGTCCCTTACTTGATCTTAGCAGGTCAAATTCTCTGTCCAGCAGCTCCTCCTCTGTCAATTTGGAAAAATTGTCCTCTCCAAACGGATTCCAGCCTGACATATCAGGTGGGTTACTGATGCTCTGCTTTGGGTAACTGGTGATTGATTCAGCATCAGGAATACGTGACCTGTAAAGTCAGTCATGGAAGCAAATGAAGGGAAACATTACAGGATTATCAGGGTGACAATCTATGACATGTTTCACTATGCCAAAACACTACATACAGGTAAAACATACGCGTTTAACAGCTTAGCCCAAAAGCATCTGAAAGCTAATTTAACAGCAAACAGATGCTTGAAACATGGTTTGATCATATCATTTCTGTACACAATCCTTGGACTTTTACCTTCTAGTCTATTAATTGTAGCTAAAGCACAGAATCCTTCATCAAGGTGACATGCAAGGGCAAAAAACGTATTTCACCTGTGGTCATTTCTATACTGCCATGGGAGACTGCCCTTCTATGCCTCAGAAAAGCATACTAAGTTTTAAGTTTTCATCAGTTCTCTTCATTTTAAAGTTATTTTTTTCTTGGCAGACACATTAAGCATCTTTGAATCCCACTTCCATCCAACTGATACAATTAACCAGTTGACATAACAGCTCCTGCTTTGTTAGCCTTATCTACACAACCAAGGAAATATTTATTGACTAGATCAGTTTTTCCTTTCATGTATATTTTAGCAAACTGTGTCTATCGCTTACCTACTGGTCTGAATGGGACTAGAAAAGCAGCAATCAACAAGTTCCTGCATCTTAACCAGTTTCTCTGTGTGCCCAGCCAGGCTCTGCAGGCCACAGCTGCAGCCCATCTCCAAAGGAACCATCTCTTCAGGACAAGACAAAGGGCAAGGGGCTTCTTCCTGTCAGCTTGGGTTCTGCCGGAGCAGGAACACCTAGATAAGGTTACACAGGAACGTGTCCAGGCAGGTTTTGAATGTCTCCAGAGAAGGAGACTCCACAACCTCCCTGGGCAGCCTGTTCCAGTGTTCTGTCACCCTCACTAGAAAGAGTTTCTTCTCAAGTTTAAGTGGAACCTCTTGTGTTCCAGTTTGTACCCATTTCCCCTTGTCCTATCATTGTTTGCCACTGAGAAGAGCCTGGCTCCATCCTCGTGTCACTCCCCCTTTATATATTTATATACACTAATAAGGTCACCCCTCAATCTCCTCTTCTCCAAACTATAGAGACCCAGCTCCCTCAGTCTTTCCTCATAAGGGAGATGCTCCACTCCCTTAATCATCTTAGTTGCCCTGCGCTGGACTCTCTCCAGCAGGTCCCTGTCCTTCTTAAACTGAGGGGCCCAGAACTGGACACAATATTCCAGATGAGGTCTCACCAGGGCAGAGTAGAGGGGAAGGAGGACCTCTCTCGACCTACTAACCACCCCCCTTCTAATACACCCCAGGATGCCATTGGCCTTCTTGGCCACAAGGGCACAGTGTCGGCTCATGGTCACCCTGTCGTCCACCAGGACCCCCAGGTCCCTCTCCCCTACACTGCTCTCTAACAGGTCGTTCCCCAACCTATACTGGAACCTGGGGTTGTTCCTGCCCAGATGCAGGACTCTACACTTTCCCTTGTTATATTTCATCAAGTTATTCCCCGCCCAGCTCTCCAGCCTGTCCAGGTCTCGCTGAATGGCAGCACAGCCTTCTGGTGCGTCGGCCACTCCTCCCAGTTTAGTGTCATCAGCAAACTTGCTGATAGTACACTCAATTCCCTCATCTAAATCATTGATGAATATATTAAATAATACAGGTCCCAGTACCGACCCTTGAGGCACTCCACTAGATACGGGCCTCCAACTAGACTCCGCCCCATAGACTACAACTCTGGCTTCTCTCCTTCAGCCAGTTCACAGTCCACCTCACTACCCGATCATCCAGACTACACTTCCTCAATTTAGCTGTGAGGATGGTGTGGGAGACCGTGTCAAACGCTTTGCTGAAGTCAAGGTAGACCACATCCACCGCTCTGCCATCATCCATCCACCGTGTTATTTCCTCATAAAAGGCTACAAGAGTGGTCAAGCATGACTTCCCCTTGGTGAAGCCATGTTGACTGCCCCTCATAACCCTCTTATCCTTGATATGCCTTAAGACAGCACCAAGGATAAGGTGTTCCATCACTTTCCCAGGAATGGAGGTGAGGCTGACTGGTCTGTAGTTACCCAGGTCCTCCTTCTTGCCCTTTTTGAAGACAGGAGTGACATTTGCTTTCCTCCAGTCCTCAGGCACCTCTCCCCTTTCCCAAGACTTGGTAAAGATGGAGAGTGGTCTAGCAATGACCTCCGCCAGTTCCCTCAGCACCCGCATCTGGACCCATGGATTTATGGATGTCCAGATTGCTCAACTGGTCTTTAACCCATTCCTCATCGACTAAGGCAAACCGCTCCGTTGACCTGTCTTCATCTGAGGTCTCAGTGGTACAGGGCTCTTCAGGACTGCCTCCGGCAGAGTAGACAGAGACAAAGAAGGCATTCAGTAACTCTGCCATCTCCGTATCTTCTGTCACCAGGGCACCCGTCCCATTCATCAACGGGCCTACATTGCCTCTGGTGTTAGTTTTATCTGCCATGTATTTGCAAAAGCTCTTTCTGCTGTCCTTGACCCCTCTCGCCAGCTTTAATTCCAAGGAGGCCTTAGTCATCCTAGCTGCCTTCCTACATCCTCTAGCAGCAGCCTTATATTCCTCTCAAGTGGCCAGCCCTTCCTTCCACAACCTGTAAACTCTCCTCTTCCACTTCAGCATACCCAGCAATTCCCTATTTAGCCACGCAGGTCTCCTGACCCTCTTCCTTGACTTTCTACGTGTCGGGATGCTCTGATCTTGAGCTCAGAAAAAGCAGTCCTTGAACGTCAACCAGCTATCTTGGGCCCCTTTCCCTTCAAGCAGCCTAGCCCATGGGATTTCCCCTAGCAATTGCTTGAACAGGCCAAAGTTTGCCCTGCTAAAGTCCAGGGTTGCAATTCTACTTGCTATTCTACTGGCCCTACCACACAAGATCCTGAATTCCACCATCTCGTGGTCACTGCAACCAAGGCAGCCCTCAACCTTCACTCCTTCAACCAGACCCTCCTTGTTAGTGAGGATGAGATCCAGCAGCGCACCTCTCCTGGTTGGCTCATCCACCATTTGCATGAGGAAGTTATCATCCATACACTGAAGGAACCTCCTGGACTGCAGCTGGGTTGCCGAGTAGTCCTTCCAGCAAACATCAGGGAAGTTAAAATCCCCCACGACGACCACGGCCTGTGACTGTGAGGCCGCTGTCAGCTGCCTGTAGAAGGCCTCGTCAACTTCCTCACCCTGATCCGGTGGCCTGTAACAGACCCCCACAACAGTATCGCCCCTGCCAGCCTGCCCCTTAATTCTCACCCACAGACTCTCAACTCACTCATCATCTGTCCCCGGACAGAACTCAACGCATTGTAGCTGCTCTCGCACATAAACAGCAACCCCACCACCCCGCCTGGCTGGCCTGTCTTTCCTGAAAAGGACATAGCCCTCCATGACTATATTCCAGTCATGTGAGCTGTCCCACCACGTCTCTGTAATTGCCACCAGGTCATAATCTCCTGACTTAACACAGGTTTCTAGCTCCTCCTGCTTATTTCCCATGCTGCGCGCATTGGTGTACAGACATTTCAGGGAGCGAGCCGAGCACACCGATTTCACCCTAGGATTACAGGAGGCCTCCCAGTCTTCATCAATTCCGGAGCGCTGTCCCACTGAGGCAAGCCGAGCTACAACCCCATCCCCCTTCAAATCTAGTTTAAAGCTCTCCAAATGAGCCCCGCTAATTTGTGCCCCAGCATCCTTTTGCCTCTGTGCGATAAACCTTTCCCACATGCCATTGTCCAGACTGGTGCCCTATAAAACCAGCTGTTATCAAAGAATCCAAAGCCCTGCCTGGAGCACCAGCCTCGAAGCCAATCATTTATAGACTGAATTTTCCCATTCCGTCCCACATCACCAATGGAAGATGGAAGGAGTGAGGAGAAGATCACTTGAGCCCCAGAGTCTCTCACCATCCGCCCCAAGGCCCTGTAGTCTTTCTTCATGCCCCTCAGACTGCAGGAAGCAGCTTCCCCCTCACCCGTCTGGAAGACCAGCAGCAGGTAGTAGTCTGTCGGGTGCACCAGGATGGGGAGCGCCCTGGTGAGATCCCTGATCCGGGCTCCAGGCAGACTACACACTTCCCTATGATGAGGGTCAACTCTGCATATCAGGCCCTCTGTTCATTTCAGTATGGAATCACCTACTACAATGACCCTTCTTTCTTTCTTATCAGAGGCAGTCTTGAGGTGTGAAGTCGACCGCCTCTTCCTATGTGGCCTTGTAGGTGGGCTTGCACCACATCCTCACCTACCTCTCCTTCAAGATCCAGGGCCTCAAACCTGTTACGGAGGGACACCCGGGGAAGCAGGGCAGGAAGGGAGGAGGGCTGCCCACGACACCGAACTGGAACTCGCTTCCAACCCTCGTCATCATTTTGGTACCCTACCTCCGCACGACAGCTACAGGCCACGGGCTGTCTCGGGCCATCCCCCTCTGTCTGAGAGGGCAGGGGGTCCATCCCCTTCTGGGGGGTATCTCCCTGGAGCTGTTCCAACTGTTACTGTTACTCCACCGCTCGATCTCCTTTTCACACTCCCTGATGATCTTCAAGATCACCAAGTTCCAGCCCCCCTGCCATGGGCAGGGACACCTCGCTCTAAACCGTATTACCCAAGGCCTCGTCCAGCCTGGCTTTGAACACTGCCAGGGATGGAGCATTCACAACCTCCCTGGGCAACCTATTCCAGTACCTCAACACCCTAACAGGAAAGAATTTCCTCCTTATATCCAATCTAAACTTCCCCTGTTTAAGTTTGAACCCATTACCCCTTGTCCTATCACTAGAGTCCCTAATGAAGAGTCCATCCCCAGCATCCCTATAGGCCCCCTTCGGATACTGGAAGGCTGCTATGAGGTCTCCACGCAGCCTTCTCTTCTCCAGGCTGAACAGCCCCAACTTCCTCATAGCCCCTTCCAGAGGGGCATGGAGCTGTTGGAGAAAGTCCAGAAGAGGCTGCAAGGATAATCAGGGGCTGGAGCACCTCCCATATGAAGACAGGCTGAGAAAGAGACCTCGGAGCAGCCTTCCAGTATCTGAAGGGGGCCTGCAAGGATGCCAGGCAAGGACTCTTCATCAGGGAATGTATCAATAAGACAAGGGGTGATGGGTTTAAAGTGAAACAGGGGAAGTTCAGGTTAGATGTAATGAAGTTCTTTACTGTGAGGGTGGTGAGGCACTGGCACAAACTGCCCAAAGAAGTGGTGAATGTTCCAGCCCCGGCAGTGTTTGAGGCCAGGTAGGACAGAGCCTTCAGTGATATGGTCTAGTGTGAGGTGTCTGGCCACACCAGGAGGCTGAAACTGGATGACCTTAAGGTCCTTTCCAACCCAAACCATTCTATGATTCTAAGACAGGAAGCCATATTTCTGGTTTGCAAGATCAATTTTATATATTGCAAACCATTGCTAACTCCATCATTGACTTGAAATTGAACATAAGGGTCAAAATCTTCAGCCAAAAACACAGAAGAGCAACTGGAAAGACACACATTTACTTCCAGACTGGAACAGAGTACCTTCCAGAAGTCAGTTTTGACCAAAGTACTCTGGCAATTGACCTGACCAAAGTACAGCTGGTAGGTCTCAAATACGGGCATCGAAGTGCAGGACAACACTCTCTGCTAGGGATTAGACTGCATAATTGGTGAGATGAAGCCAAAGTGGTCACTGTGATACATATTATATCTACCCAGCCTACAGCAGGAAAAAAAATTTGCCTTTTACTGTTTCAACACACTGTAATCTAGTAGATACTAAGAATGACAGCAGCATCCCAAAACATGTAAGCCACACTACTCACTGAAAGCCTGTCTCACAATCGATTGCACCAAAGACTGCAGCATTCCCACACTTGCAGAGGACTTCTCTCTAAATATAGTATAGTAGGAACCTTATCGATCTATAACCTAGTTCATAGCATCAGTGAAACTGGACAAAGCTGCGATTTATTTTTAAAATCAGTAATGGGTCCTTTATACTTTGTTTTTCATAAGAATTAATGGACATTTTTTATTAACATAAGTCTGCAGGCAGAACCCTGCTAATGGACTGTCTCTTTGTTGAGGTATACTCCATGATGTAAAGTGTTTAAGTCAGACCTCTGATTAACAGACACAGGAGTTAAAAGCCCTAGCAGATAATTGCCCACTATAAGGGCTTTCTTAAAAGAATGACTTCCACCCACTCAACCTCATTCAACTGACCATCCTAAGCAAAATGGTTAACAGTCAGTTCCTGGAATAAGTCCATGAAGAAGAAAAAGTGGAAGATAGGTCCTTTAAGAAGTTGTACCAGATTCATCTGTTAACAGATTGTGTCCCATTTTCGCCTCAAAATATCCTTTACCATTAAGCATCAATTATCCAACTAGTCTTAAGTAACACTTCCTCCTTTTCACTCCTTCCTAATAACTTGCTTCCTACTGAAGCAAGTAATTTCTGAGGAAAGAATTCAGTAGTGCTCATCACAATTAAGAACATGTGCAGTAAAGTAAGCCTTAGGTACATTATGTCAGAATACTTGCCTGCTTACAGGGTAGGGAGAATCTGCCACTGTTGTAGCACACACCGGCAGCGACCCAGGGTAGGAAATTAAGGCTGGTGAGAAATCTTGAGGAGAAGTGATACATTCTGGAGATTGTGCCTGCTGCGACCGCTGCTGCTGCACAAACATCTGCTGCTGTAGCAGAGTCTGCTGATATTGCTGCACCTAAGATAATGACTGTGTTACTAAAATTCACACAGGCCAGTGTAAATCTGTTCTGCTCAGTAACACTACCAGTCTTACAGCCAAATGCTCTAACAGTCACCACACTCCAGAAAAGCTTAGTAGCCTCAGCAAAAGTAAGAAGCCAGATCTGTCCATTATACAGGTGAAAAGCTGCCATAACAAGTCAGTGATACCATGTTTCTCTTCCAACCTACTACCACTTAGCTTTTCGCAATTATTGTAACTTACTGAAGCACTAAGTAGTTAAGTTTTCATAATACCCTATTCTTCAATATTAATAACCAAAATTTCAGGACAATTTCTCTAGAAACTGATTATGCCAAGTAGCTTTCTTCCTTTCAAAGTAGGATTTGATGTTTTCTATCACTTTGGGTTAACTTGACCCGCTGCCCCAGCTGTATTTTTATTTTAGATGCTGAACTTCACACTATTTACCAAATCCACAGCTGATTACAACTACTCACAAACTTTTCTTACTGAACATTCACAACAGACTTTCAAACACCATTATGTTCTATTCCCAACATACCATGGAAGGGTATTGAGATTGGGAAGGTTGCTGCTGGTACACAGACTGCATCAACAGCTGCTGTTGGACCATCTGCTGGTGCATTGCTTGTTGATACTATAGACAGAAAGAAGAAAACAGCTTTAATAAGTCATAATCCCCCCATTAGAAATACCCAGATATTTAGAAGCAGCATCAATTAAAATCACTTTTGTGACTCAACAGCATTTTCCAGTTAAGATACCACATAATCAAGAATCAGCTTGCAATTTAGCCTTTGCATTTTAATGACTGTTTGGAAGCTTTTCTATTTTGGGTTTGTTTTCCCCTCCCCCCACAATTAATACCAGCCCATTTAACCAAAACTTAAACTACATATTCAGCACTGCCTTCTTTAAGGCAGGCCAACTGTCATCCTAGCTTTTGCCATCTTCACCAGTACTAAGCCCCTTTGGAAAACACATCAGCTGTACTTTAAAGAAGCACAGCTTCTCAATACAGTTAAAAACCAAAAAAGCCACAGCAGTAGGCATCTTGGAAGTATCTAAAAGTTCTTGCTTGGCTTAGCTGCTCCGTTGCAATGTTTACAGTTATGTATGCTACACAATTTAAGCAATTACACCTGATGGCATGCAAGCTGGACAGTGTCACCACATGTGGTACCCATTAAGCATCCAGGCAGAGAGAACAGCTACAAAAAGGAAGCTCTTCACTGACCAAAAGAAACTGAAAAAAGAAAAAAAAATACCAAAATCCTACTCAGATGCTGTACGTACAACCACCTACTGCAAGCGTAACATCATCACCCAGATAATCCCTAATATTCAAGTGCCAGACAGTGGCTCTTCATCAGGGACTGTAGTGACAGGACAAGGGATATTGGATTTAAAGTGAAACAGAGGAAGTTCAGGTTAGTTATAAGGAAGAAGTTCTTTATTGTGAGGGTGGTGAGGCACTGGTACAGGTTGCCCAAAGAAGTGGTGAATGCTCCACTGCTGGCAGTGTTCAAGGCCAGGTTGGACAGAGCCTTGGGCAACATGCTCTAGTGTGAGGCATCCCTGCTCATGGCAGGGTGCTGGAACTGGATGATCTTAAGGTCCTTTCCAACCCAAACCATTCTGTGATTTATCTCCAGCACATTTATGCATATACAAAACCTGTACTTGAGCCACAGTGGTAATTCAAAGCAAGCTAGGGTTCAGGGTCAAACTGCAAAAGCAACTTCCAAGGATAAGCAGTACAGTGCCTATGAAGAGACAAATCAGAGGTAAAAGAAGGGGCAGAAGCAACAATCCCTTGCTCGCTCTCATAGCAGGAAAAAAAACTAGGAAGCAACAGCAGATGTATTCAACTAGCACACCATTTAAACCATTATTAATAGGCGTAAGAAGAGTCTCTTAGAGGCGTGTCAAACGAATTCAACTTGTACCTGCTGAATATAAGCATCCTGAATCATAGGTTGGTGCTGGTGATGCAGATGGTGCAGCTGCTGCAGCCTCCAGTCACCCTGCTGCAGCTGCTGGAGAACTCTGTTCTGCTGCAGGGGGTGCTGGTTGGTCTCTTGGGACTGCAGGATTTTTTGTCTGTTCCCTGGTCCTGTTGTTCCTGGGATATTCAGACAACACTACTGACATACTGATCTCTAAAGTTTAGCTAGAGAGCTCACTGGCAGTTAACTGCTTTACATAAGGCTTCAAGGTGATACAGTTTATCAGCATCTTTTCCAAGACTGACAATATACTTCCAGGCCTGCCAATGCATGATTTACACTTCAGAGATGTGGGAACCTTCCTTTGTTGTCACGACAGAGCAAGCTGGGTTCAAGACTTATGCTGTACTAACACTGAAGTTGTACCTTCTACTTTCTCAACCCCTAACGATCCACTGTCTAGTAGAAGTTGTTTACACCTGGGACACTGACTGGATGCCTTCCCAATACCATGCCTAAGCTATTCTTCCTGTACTATAATAGACACATAACATCAAGTGCACCTGGGAAAGTGTCCAAGATACAACTATTTAAGTGAATATTGATCAGAGCCATTAACTCTTTCTGAGTGAGATAAAGACAAACTCAAAGGATTTACTGAAAACCCATTTCACTCCATTTAACCCATTCTCCCTCAATTACTCCTCCATTGCCCCTCTACTGCATTCCCAATGCAATGTGAAATGCATCAGTCAGTCATCAGAGAAGTAAAGTTTTAACATGGCTTCAGACTACAAACACCACCAACATATTGTTGGTATCTCATGACTTTTTGAGGTACAAGGAAAGTATTTTTCCTACTACAATGAAAGCAGTTTATTACAGAACTCAGTACTTGAATTGGCTCAGTACTTTCCATGAATTATTTGAAAACCAAGACTGAGCATGAACTTCTCATGTCCACAGTGGAAAAGTTAGGTCAAAATCAGTGTTAAGCACAATGAAAAAAAAACTCTTTTCTTCTCAACCATTTGCATTCGGTTTGTGTGGCACCTGGTCAAGCTTACTATTCGCACATTTAGTCTTTTGGAAAGGAAAAAAGTTGTTTTTAGATGATTAAAAAAAAAAAAATCAGATTAATTGAGGTTTTAAATGCTATCCCTACTAGAGCAAGAAGGAAAATAAATAAAATGCTTTTTTCATTTATTTTGGTCCACGCTAAGACTTTGTTGTATTACCTTTTTGCCCACAATTACCAAATTCACCAGGAACTTGGCCTTTGACTGGAGTTGCTGAGCTCTGGATGGCCAGCACGCTAGAAGTGACAGTGCTTGAATTGGCCTTTGGTCTTTGTCGCGGTGCAATTGAGGTTTCTGTTGGTCCAACAGCATCTGTTATTCTGAAATGGCAAGTTTTCCCATATGAGAGACTTGGTAAAAAAGGACTTTCTTCAAATTAGATGCAGTTTCTCTTAATAGCTCAATTATGTCTTAGCCATGTGCTACCCTACTTCTGAGCTCCATTTTAATAACTTAAAATTTGCTTCCTCAGCTTCCCACTCACCACCCACAGCAGCCATAGGATATATGACTGCTGCAAAACATGATTCAGACAGAGCTGTGCAACAGCCTTAATCCCAAGAGGACCATGACACTACATGAAATTTCTCTGTGTAAGCTTTCCTCAGTTCACAGCACTGAGTGGAAGTTAGGGCCAGTGTTTGAGCCAGCAATCCTAAGACTAGAGGTATGATTACTGTTCATATGCATAGGAAATTAGGTTAAGAAAATATCTGCTAAAACAACTCATTTCTACTTTTTGCTAGAAAAATTGCCTCTAGCAGTTGTAACGCCCATAAAGTGCCCCAAATATATGCATCTTCCCAGAGGTACTGCAGAGCTGTATAACAGTCTGCCATGGTAATAAAGATGCTCCAAACCAAACTACTTTTGAGGTCTAATCCCATTATCAGGTTATAGTATAGGCATTTTTTAAAACTGTCCAACTGGTTAAAAAAAACTAATTCACCACTGATTTTATCTGTTTTGTGATTTTTTGTTTTTTTCTTTTTGTTTTCTTTTTTGTGGTTTTTTTTGCTTGACAAAATTAGCAAAAAGAAGAAGTGAAGCCACACTCACTGCTCACCTTGCTTTTATTTGGCTTTTTCTAGCAGCTGCCTCACTAGCTGTCATGGGTTCAGGGAGAGTTGAAGGGACAGGAGAATTCTTGGGAAAAATAAATTTGAATAAATTAAAAACCCCACAAAACAAAACAGAAAAACAAACTCCTGAAAGAAAAAAATCATTACAAACTGAAGAGGAACACTTGGGTTCAAGTTTTTCATGTTACATGGCTGCATGCAGAATTCACAAGGCTGTAGATTAGAAGTGCTGTAATTTAACAGTACCTCTGTTCTCTCATCTGTCACATAAGCACAACAAAACCATGACCAGTCTGACTTTCGTTAACTATTTCTATTACACACTACCAACCATCAACAACATAAAAACATTTTCTCTAAAAGTCTTCTTGTGATTGCACAGAAAAGAGGCTTATTCCACAATTAGATCTGTGAATGAGATCATCTTGGAGAGAAAGTTCAGCCTCACAAGGACAGTAAGGGTAGGACTGCAGACTAAGGCACTATCCCATTTGCCTTCCAGCTCAATGTAGTCCTTCCAAGGGATTAACATAATTCCTAAGGATGCTTAAAAGGTGTCAATCCAGAACAAACAAACATTCTTGACACTACAGTTACAACATTAAACCTCCAATTGCCGACAAGACCTATAGTGAGCGTATTTTATGTAGACACCAGAGATGAGTAATGGTTAAGACAGCAAGTCAGGTACTTGTGCATACTCAATATAATTTATGAAGCTATGCCCTCCAAATTAAAAGATTACTTGTTTAGAGAGCTAGTATTGCAGGTATGCACCAGCAGCCTGAAGTTCTCTATGTTTTAAACTGGATTTTTACTTAGGAACAAGGTTTATAAAGAAATCAATGTAATCTCTCAGATGGTTTGATAACACTTTTCTCAAAGCTACCTACAAAATACACTAAAAATACAGACAACATTAAAGACTTACAATTAATTATTACTACTTACATTAATATTAGACACTGGACAATCCTTTTTGGCAAGTTTAAAGGCAAAGTAAGATACCTGAAAGATATCAGGTCTCTGCTCTTGATCTGGTTCAAGCATATATCCTGCAAAAATTGGCAAGACCAAATTGTCACTGTTGGACATCAAAAAGCCTGTTAAGCCAGCATGCTACCAGCAGGAAGAAATTTATCAGCTCTGCCAAATGAGCTTGCGATAGAAAATCAGTTTTATTGTTATACTGAGTAGGGGTTTTGTTTCGGGGTTGTGTTTGGGTTTTTTTAATACTTTTTGTCAAATCAGTAGTTCCTAGGGTCAAATACAATTAGAAATGTATGTTGTTGGTATTTTGACACTCAGTTATGGAAAAGGTAGATAAACTGAAGTAGTAATTAATAGCTTCAGAGAAAAACCACTTATAACCAACTCATGATGCTAGAATTTTCTAGGGTTAATACAAAATTCAAGGTAGGTAAGAGATGATTCACATATCTAACTACATCAGGCTATGCTTCTACATCATCTCTTATAACGATCTGTGTTTTATTTGACTTAGAAAGCAAGAGAATTATGCTGCCCAGATACTTACTTATTAAACAGTGTATACTATGAGAGTATCGGGAATTGTCTGGAATAGTAAAGCTTCCATCACAAATAGCAACTTGACTTTCTCCAAACGGAAGTGAAAAGAAACAAAGTTTATAAAGCAAGCAGCCAAGTGCCTGTAGAAACAAATACAGGCACTGTAAAGGGATAAGAGTAAGACTTAAACACAATAAAGCAGCACCAGCAAGAAATAAACTGCATGCTAGCTACAGCTGACCCTTCCACTGTTATGCAGAAGCCGCATTATGAAACACTCTGTTGATGTGACAAGCTGATATATAAAGTAGTGCTAGAAAGGCTTTCTTTCCCACTGATTCCTATGCTAAACAACAAATCACCAAAATCAGAGTGTACCCCAAAGCTACATTCATATTGTCATATCACCCAGCAATAACACTAGCATTTCTGCTGAATTTAGTGTTCATTTACTTCACTGCACATTACCTAATACAAACACCCTTCCCTATCATGCTGACAACAGGCTTCCAAAAGAAGTCACTGGTAACTATCAAACAGTAGCTGGGCTGGATAAAAAGGAAACAAATTTTAAATCATGTCCTACTTATCGCAGACTAAACATAGACTCATAGAATAGTTAGGGTTGGAAAGGACCTTAAGATCATAAAGTTCCAACCCCCCTTGCCATGGGCAGGGACACCAACATCACACATGGCATTCACTGTACTGACAGCAGAGCTAAGCACCAAAGATACCTCTACTATATTCTGTATTGTAGAGCTGCATGATATATTTCCCTTCCAAAGAATTAGTTTTTCATTTAGTGTATGCCACTTCTAGCTTCCCACACACCCTCTTCATTAGCTCCATATTTCATAGTACCCAATTTCTTGCTTACCCAGATATCTGCCTTGGTAGTAATTGGTTTTCCTCCATAAAGATTGATCATTTCAGGAGCTCTGTATGACAGTGTTGTATACCTAGGAATAAGTAAGTAAAAGAGGACACTGATGAACAGCATTCCCCAGAGTTGAAAGTGTGTTTTCCTTCATCTGCCACACACACACACACCATTCACACTTGAGTTTCAGATACATGCCTGGAATTGCAATCCAAGTCACTTACTGCATTTGCATCGCCACAGAGAATATTTGGGGTAGCAACATAATATTAGCATACATAATAATAAATATTGAGTCACATAAATTTGCTTTTAATGTTGTTTCCCTAGCACATAGACTTTTGTAAGAATTACTACACTTAAATATTGCGCTAGCCAATCATTCAGAAGATGTAATGGAGGAGTCCTACAAGAATATTTTCCACCACATATTGAGACATGTATGTATACTTCAAAAACCTAATACCTCAAAATAATTACTAAAGTGGTTTTCAGAACTGAAAAAAACTCCAAAAAACTCTATCACTATAATTTGATAACAAGTAGCCCGTATTTATTCTTACGCAGTAATTAGCCCAAAGGGGCAAACCCAAACTTACACGTGTTTTCAAAAACATGCTTTTAATAAAAGATAAAATATTTCTAAGCTCAGCCTTAGAGAATGACCTTACTCTATAAATAAGACCCTACATAAACCCAATTCCAATGCTTACTTGCATCAGCTCTTTTTCTCTTATGCCATTAACTGTATTAAAATAGCATTAATTTAAAACACCAAACTCCTAAAATGGTCAGTGGCCAGACATATTTTTGAACGACTTCATTTCAGAACAGCATTTTTTTTTCAAACAGCTTTATTCTTTGCAGTCTCAGTTTTGCAAAAACCATCTGTGAGCAAATGGAAGAAATCTGTTACCAAATAGTTTTACTCCATTTATGTCAACATTAGTTCAAATTCAATAATTAAGTTTAACTCGCATTAGTAAGATACAATTACACTGCAGAAGAACACATGGAGTTTGCCGGCAGCACAATCATTGCCTACAATAAGCCATTTAAAAGTGAACTTACTTTTTAATTTCCTCTTCAACCACATTAACACCATCTTTTTGAGGATTAAGATATTTGTTAGTGGCACTGCCGAAGTCACAGAGGACATAGTTGCCACTATCGTTTAACAATATATTCTCCACCTTCAAAGGAAATTAACACACAGAAACATCAGATGAAAATCACAATATTCTTTTCTAAGTTAACTGTTTTATATGTTCTCACACACAAACACGGAATTTATCAGTAAAATCAGTTGAGAGACTTGGCATTAGCAATAAGTGATGTCTTACAGTTTAGTCTCTCCACCAAGAGCAAGTGTTTCTTTAACTACAAGTCAGTTTTAGTGAAATACCCCCTATATCCTCTATCCTTTTTAAGTAGGCCATTGATTTTAACCTATATGTTCCTTATTATTAGGTTCATACCTTTAAATCCCGGTGAACTACAGGTGTTTTGCACTGATGCAACCGGGCAACAGCTTCACAGGTATCACAAAATATTCTCATTACTTCTGACTCAGTAAAGCCTGTCTGCAGACGCTGATTCATCTGATTCACAACTTGCCCAGCTAAACAGACAAGGCAATTTTTTTGTTATTAGCTCCTATCATGCACAGAAGCAATGACTTAATGATATGCAAAAAGCCCATAAATAAGATGAAACAAAGTTTTCCACAGTCACTGTATTTCAATAAAACAAACTCAGTGTTCCATGCATGTACACTTGTATCATCATAGAAGAATGACTGTCTCAAGAACCACACTTACTTACAATGCCATGTGAAACCAACTGGTACATTTTCTAAGTGTTCAACAGCTATGTGCCTAAGTAACAGTGCAACACAAAGAACTAGCTGGATTCCAGCTCCGAGATACAAATGTTCAAGGTCTGTACTATGGGAACAATTCTACATATAAATTCCAGGTGATCAATGCAAACATTTTCCCTGCATCTACTCTAAAAACAAAGGAGTTGACTCTTACCTCGACAGTACTCCATGAGAATGAGCACCTCCCAAACATTGTCACTTACAGAGTTAACAGCACAGTCCAAATAACTCACAATATTCTTGTGCCCAGACAACTCTTTCTGAAAAATAAAATACACATTACACCTGAGCACAGAAAAGCACAAACAAATAAGACAGTACAGGTTTTCAGACAAGCCTTTATGATTTCCAGTTATTAGTCTCTGCCCCACATCCAGTACTCTTGAAGTACCATCACAAACCCAGAACATAAGGAATGCCAGCGACTGCTGCACACCAAACACAATCATTATTCAGAAATGAACATTCAGGTGTTCCTTGTTGGACTGTGGAAAAACATCTCAACTACTCCATTCTAAGCCAGTGTTGGCAAGTAGCAATAGCTACAGCCTTGATATGTGGGAGATATGCAAGAAGCAAGCTACTAGTGCCCATCCTAAGCTGAAGTGAGAAAGTTTCTCACAGTTATTAAAAGAATGCACAGCTTTTGCAGTCTGAATGATTAGAATTTAGTACACACGAACAACTGAAGCTGTCCCCAAGGGAAGCAAAAAAGAAAAAAAACAACCCAACAAGTTTTGAGAGCCATTTTAAGTGCAGAATTAAACTACGTTTGTTTCAAATCTGGCTATTTAAGTGTTGCTATCTGTATTACAGAGCTCCTGCCTACATGGTAACTTGAGACTAAGCCTAGAAGTACTTCTTCAATGAGGTAACTACATAGGTGCTGCTATGATTAGAACATGCGTAAGCTAGAAACAGATGGAAATGAAGACAAACACTCTTCCTAGTATCTGACAGAAGGCAATATAACAGATTTTTCTCTTGCCTAGGGAGCACCACTCAGTTAATGGAGCTGTGGCATACAGAGGCCTTGAGAATTTAAGTTACCCCTGCAGAACTGCAAAGAATTTCTTTTGCCTGGGAACCAGATGTACTGACCAAATAGACAGTGGCATCAATTTGTAACTGCTTTAGAAGCTAATCATGCACTAACCTTGAACTCAGCATTAGTTTCTGAAGCTAAAAGTGCAATATCAGGACTGGAAAGTCAAAAGAGAAGGTGGTCTAGAACCCACTGTTACTGAAGAGGAATTTGGTGTATACACTGCAAATTAATACATTCTCCAGTTACAAATAACGAGCTTCTTACCATAATTGTAATTTCTCTCTTACAGATGTTGAGATCCGGCACACTATTAACATACATTCGTTTTAGTGCATAACGTATCCCACCGTGGGTACGTACCAGAAACACAGTTGAAAAGCCACCTAGAAAAAAAATAATTACAAGCAAATGAAGTTACCCAAGTCTTTGTTATTCCTCTAGCCAACATCACTACACACTAAGAAGTGAATAAGAAAGTCTACACCAGTCATTGAGCAAGGAGTAACAAGGACTTTGGAAATTACAAAAATGTGCCGCCTCAATCAGTTTCACAAAGGTCAAGTATTGTGGGGGGAGGGAGAAGAAAACCACACCACAAACACATAAGAATTTTGCTCTTTTGTTAGCACATTGAACAAAAATCTTTTAAAAGCATTTTCAAATTCAAATAAATTTATAAAGCCTAGAGTAAACTCTTATGTATTCAGGTATCAACCCTGAAGCACTTACAGTCATCCAGAAACCTCAAAGTGAAGGCAATCTCCAGATCTTCAAAATTACTACATCCCCCAATACTTGATAAAGGTTAATATTATTTTTCTGAACCTACATTTCACACAGAAATGAAATACTAAGAAAACAGAAACTCTGGAAAGACACCAAAAAAGTCATGCAACTTCTCAGCATAGCCTCAAGACAGGTAGAACCTCCATGCAATCACAGAGGGTTGAAGCAAACAACTCCCAAGCAGGGTTTTTATTATTCAAACCCATCTTCAACACATAGTTAACTGCTTTCCCTCAACCAGACCCATCAAAAGCCTTCTTAGCACAGCAGCAGCAACTGTGAACCATGTACTTGAGCCCACCTCCCAGCTTCCCAGTATGAGGTTTTTCCTTTTCTCTTCACTAGTACATAAAAACCATGCAGGCAGGAATTACACACAGAAAGTACTTCCAAACAGGTAAACTAAAGGAAAAAAACACCACTCTCAAGTTTTACTCATCTCCTGTTAGCTTTAACTAATGCTGGAGGCCTCCACCAGATGCCGTTCCTATCTCCCCCCAGTTCTCAGGCACATCTTTGCGTTAGAAAATCCACCCTATGGAAGAGTCCAATACTTCCAAACAACACTTTTTAAGTGGCTGCTGTAAGTCAACTATTACCATGGGAACTTCCAACTGGTGCAAATGCTCAGGGCCACAGTCTGGCCAGAATTATGTAAATTAAAATTATTAACTTCACTCATAATGAAGCAGCCAAGTGAAACGCACATGCTTCATGTTTCCTGATGTAATCTGCAAACAGCATTTATTAAGTATAATCTGACACAAGTCTCATGTGCTTGAACAAACATGCACATAATTGACAACTGAAGAAGCTAAGTTTTATTAGGAACTTTTCTTGAAGATTAAATATTTAATTGTTTTTTAACTTAATTGCTCATTTAGCCAAGTGAGATGCTATGCTCTCCAAAACAGAATTACTATCAATTTTAATACAACACCCTAAATTCTGCAGAATTGTTAGACTTAACCAAGATTACATAGGGCCTCCCCAAAACATTAAGAGGACATGGGCACTTAAGTTACTCAAGCTGTAACGCCAAACTCCAGCCAGAGCTGAAATGATCTTATATACTCCCCTAATACCAGCCTGTGGAATTATGTCAAGGCCTTCATTAACAGAAATTTTTTTTGTACTAACCTCTCTTTAAGAAGAGACATTTTAAAGCACCAATACCTGAGCAAAAATACAAAGCAGTACTTGGTAAAGCACAGAAGTCTAATGGTGAGAAGACAAAAACCACTTCCTGTCTTTTTAATAGGTTTAATAGCCTTAAAATTCTATGACTAGGAGGAGAAGAAGAAGAAAAAGCTGGATTTCAAGTTTCCCTGAAAACTGGCTAGTATCTTTTATGTAACCAGAGCAAACACGATTGGGTAAAACCAATCAGTAGTACGTAGTGAAAAACATCCACTCAGCCAACTACTTTCCTTGCCATTAGGTGGCAACCTTAACCAATACTTGAACTCTGCAAGGGCCATAAAAGCAGGCCAATTCCCCATTTTGCCAAGAGTGAGATACATGACTTTGAATGGTTTTCCTTTTGCAAATATCACCTCTATAAAAATCATTTCGTCAAAGAAGCAAGTGGCATAACTGTGAACAAAACTTTAACAAATGTATTTATACTTACAAGAAAGTTAATAGTCACCATTCCTCTGGAAATCTTAATCCAGCAAAATCCTGAACAATTAAATTTTCAACGTTTTCAGTTGTTTCTGATGTTAAACTTCTCACTGAAAGCACCGCAATAATCAATGCTGTACATATTCACAGAATCACAGAATGGTTTTGGTTGGAAAGGACCTTAAGATCATTTAGTTCCAACCCCCTACCATGGCCAGAGACACCTCACACTAGACCATGTCACCCAAGTCTCTGTTCAGCCTGGCCTGGAACACTGCCAGGGATGGAGCATTTACCACTTCTTCGGGCAACCTGTGCCGGTGTCTAGTGTCTCCCCATCCTCACTAAAAAACTTCTTCCTTGTATCTAAACTGAACTTCCCCCATTTCAGTTTAAATCCATCACCCCTTGCTATAGCACTACAGTCCCTGATGAAGAGTCCCTCTCTGGCATCCTTGTAGATCTCCTTCAGATGCTGGAAGGCTGCTCTGAGGTCTCCATGCAACTTCTCCAGGCTGAACAGCCCCAGTTTTCTCAGCCGATCTTTATATAGGAGGTGCTCCAGCCCCTGAACATCCTCGTGGCCTCCTCTGGACTTGCTCCAACAGCTCCAAGGACACCAGAACTGCACACAGTGCTCCAAGTGGGGTCTCATGAGAGCAGAGCAGAGTGGCAGGATGACCTCCTTCTACCTGTTGGTCATGCTCCTTTTGATAAGGCCCAGGACACAGTTGGCAAAAACTGTGTCCTGGTTCAGGATATTCAGGCAAGCTCTTATTAATAGCATTGGTATCTGCAGGGATAGTGTAGCAAGCAAGCCCTTGAACTTACTTGTCAGATACCACCTAAAAACTGACACTAACATATTCAAGACAACAGAACATAAGGCTACCAGGCACAGGCACCACAGTGCCATGTTTTCTCCTTTGTTTCACATCCTCAAGAACTCAAACATAAATTGATAAACTACAGAAGTGACTAAGGACTCTAACATAGTTAGCACTCCAGACCTGAACATGGGACTGACTGCAGCTCTGAAGAGACTTGTATGCAAAGCAGAAGTACAGAGAAGCCTTGTTTTGTGTGATGACAGCATGCTGCACTTTGCCACCCTGTACTGGCCCACATGAACAAGAACACCCCACAGCCTTGCTGCTAATTGTGGGTCAATGAAAATCCACTTACGTGCCTCACAACCAAGACTCAGCTCTGTTACTGTCAGACCTTGCGAAAAAGAGCTAACAGGATGTTGTTTCCACTCAGAACAGAAGAACGGAGGGGAGGACATTCAGCATGATGGCATTTGTCTTCCCAGGTAACTTATATGGGACAGAGCCCTGCTTTCCTGGAGATGGCTGAACAGCAATTCAGTTAATTCTGTATTTGGCTTTGCTTGTTTGCACAGCTTTTGCTTTACTTGTTAAACTGTCTTTATCTCAACCCACAAGTTTTCCCACTTCTGCCCTTTTGATTCTCTCCCCATCCCAGCAAACAGAGTGAGGAAGTGGCTGTGCAGGGCTCAGTTGCCGTCTGTGGTTCAGCCACAGGAGACTCATAGGGACTGAATCTCTTACAGTCTTTACTTAAGAGTTTGGTCCAACTGGTGAACTATTTGACTCTATACTCCTATCTCAGACAAACAACAGAACTTCATTAGCAGAAGGGTTTTAGCTGTACAGTAATATGCCATAACCACCACCCACACCTGTCAATGCTGAATCAAGAACAGTAGCTACTACAGCCACTCTCAAAACCAGCAAGGTATAAAAGCTTCTCTACAAATGCATGCTACAGAGCTGCTGAGTTTTAACATCTATTTCCATTTAGACACAAATACATACCCAAGAAAGGTTTTTAGAAAGCTGATCATTACATAAAAGCCTATTTTCAGGTATGGTCCTTAGAAGCAGTTTTCCTGTACATTTCAGAAACCTGAAATGAAGAAACAGATGTGGAAAGCAACAGATCCTAGTTGTTTTTTACCTACCTACACAATCTGGAAGTTTGATATTTAGTAGCTTCCTCAACAACTAAGCATCATTTTGCATTAAGGGGAAAAAAAAACCAACAAAAAATAAATAAACAAAAAAAAAAAAAAAGAAACAGTGGACAGTTTTGTACAAAATTAACCCTTACAGCTGTGAGCCCTGGGAATGGCTGTAGGGCCAACATAACAGTTCTGGGACTGTGCCATTACAGCATAGTCCCAGAACTGGCTTCACAATAATCCTGTAAAGTTGTTCTTAATGAAGCTCAATAGCCTCAAAGATAGTTTATTTCTTATTCAAAGTTTGCAAATTTAGCTCTCACTTGGCCAGGGAGATAAACTTGTGTCCCTCTCTCCACAAAGCTGGATAAAGTGGTCAAAATGTAAATTATTTCCCAGTGAACCATCTACCCACACATATGCTGCTAACCTTCCCCTCCCGCTCCCCTTTTACAAGAAGATAGCTATCCATCCACATAATAATAGTTATAATACCATATCTGGCTTTTTTTGCATTTTAGATCATCTAACATACAAGAATTCAGGCATTCTCATCTGTGTTCTGAATAAACCTCTGCCTTTAGCAGTACTTTCTCTGCTCTCTCACTGGACACCACTTGATGCCTGGATCACTTCACACACGTCTACTATTAATCCTAGAGCCAAAAGTCACTGAGATGTCTCAGTCATCTCCCACAATCAGGCTGACCTGCAGGCAGAGCCACCCTCCTTCACAAGCTCAACATCCCCCAAAATCACGTAACCTCTGAGCACTACAATTTGGAAGCCCAATGCACAAGGATGAACCATTTTATGGACTAATCTATGCAAAATGCAGTTAGACCAGTCCCTCTCAAAGTCCTGCAGACAGGGTACTGCAGGAAGTCCTCATTAAATGCTTTAAGCTCATACTCTTTGCTGGAAAGAAAATAAACCTCTGACCTCAACAGCTTTACAAGGTGCCAAGACACCAAAGCCAGTGTC